GGGCAGGTCCGGCAGGCCGTCGGGCGGCGAGTGGAAGGGCGTGGCCGCGGCGCCGCCGAGCGCGAGCGCGACGACGCGCGGCTCGGGGCCCTCCGGCGGCCCGTAGTGCTCGCGGCCGCCGCCGACGAGGCCGCCGGCCGTCCGCGCGCCGACGGCCGCGCCGCACGCGTCCGCGGCCGCTCGCGCGACGAACGCCGCGTCGCTCGCGTCCGTGAGCCACAGCAGCGCGTCGGGCGCGCCGGCGGCCGCTATTTCTTTGGCGAACTCGGCGCCGAGCGCCGCGGGAGTCGGAGCGCGGCACGCGATGGAGCGGAGCAGCATGTTGTGGTTGTGCCGCCACCTGTTGCACACCACGTCGTAGGAGGCGTCGCGCGCTGGTGCAGCGCTTAAATCTAGGACGGTAGACGCGTCGCGCTGTTGCACACCACGTCGCAGGAGGCGTCGCGCGCTGGTGCAGCGCTTGAATTTAGAACGGTAGACGCGTCGCGCGCTGCGTCAAAACGCGCTCATAGCCAGCGCAGAGCTGCGAAACCTTCACTGGTTGACCTTTTTACTACACGCCAGCGTGCCTTAGGCGAAGGGGTTCGACGCGGAGTACTGGGGCGGCGCGTCGCCGGGCGGCGGCGGCGGCTCCTGGGCGTAGACCGCGGGCTCGGCGAGGGGCTCGCCCGCGTAGGCCGGCGGCGCCTCCGGGAGGGGCTCGACGAGGGGCTCGACGAGGGGCGCGGCCGTCGCCGCCGGGAGCACCGTCGCGTCGTCGAATTTCATGGGCGGCGCGACGGGCTCGTTGATGAGGTCGTCGTGGTAGTTGGGCGCGGCGCCGTCGAGCGCGCGGAGCGCGGACAGGAGGCGCGCCGCGGGCCCGCGCGGCGGCACGTCGCCCGCGAGCACCTGGCGCGCGCGGACGCCCGGGAAGGCGTAGTGGCGCTCGTTGACGCTGTTGCGCTCGTTGATCACCGTGCCCTCGATGGAGATGCCGGCGAAGAGGCCCTTGGAGATGGAGTAGGTGTAGATGGGCGCCAGGTTGTCGAGCGTCATCGACGCCGCGCCTTCCCGCGACGCGCCGACGGGTCCCGCGACGGCGCCGATCTGGCCGCCCAGCGAGAAGGCGCCGCCGCCGGAGAAGGACTGGAGCGCCCGGTCGTCGTTGAGCACGATCAGAAAATCCGCGACCTGCGCGCCGAACTGGAAGCCGACGGACGCGCCGACGGTGCCGATCGCCGAAGGGCCGGACCACGACCCGTCGCCGAGCCGCGCGACGACGCAGCCCGTGCCGAAGCGCGCGCTCAGCGCGAAGCCCGCCTTCGTCACGCGGAGAAACGCCAGGCCCCGCGCGCGGCGGAGCACGTGCGTCGGCGGGCCCGTCGTGGGAGACGCGAGCATCTTCGCCAAAATCCGCTCGGCCTTGTCGCACTCCTCGTCCAGTCGAAAGTTCACGAGGCCGCTGCCCAGGTCGCCCTGGGCCGTCGCGACGCGCCGCTCGACGTCGACGAGCAGGGGCCGCGCCGGGTGGCCGCGGATGGCGCTGATGCAGTCGCGGTAGCCGCCCGTGCGCCGGCCGCCGACCCCTACCACGCGGTCGTTCAGGAGCAGGCCCTTGGCGCTCGCCTCGCCGCCGGCGACGAGCGCACTCACCATGCCCTCGCCGCCGTAGTCCGACACGGTCATGCCCAGGGCCTGCGCGTTGAACTCGAAGGTGAGCACCTGGGCGCGGCCCGTCTCCTTGCCCTGGACGCCGCGGGCCAGGTCCTCGGCGCCGGCCTTGACCGAGTCGCCCACCTTCTTGAACCACGCCTCCATGGCTGGGCGGCGGCGCGGTTCCGTGCGGAGGACCTGTCTCCCGGGCGTCGACGAACGACGGCGGATCCGTGCGGAGGGAGCCGTCTACGCTGGCGCCTCGATCGATGCGCTCGAGCTTTTTTTACCACAAAGGTTTTCGCTCGCCCAAAGGTGCCGTCTCATTGCCTTTGCTCCCTCGCGCGCTGGAGCGGCCGGGCCCGCTATTCGCACGCCGTAGCAACCCTTTGAACAACGACCGCCATGCGCCGCGACCCCGTGGACCTCTTCCCCGGCGCCGCCGGTTGCCTCTTCGACACGCTGGGCGCCATGGCCGTGCTCTGGGGCCCCGGCCGCGTGAGCCGGCGCTGGTCCCAGCTCGCGCGGAACGTCGTCGGCGGCCGGTCCCACGCCGGCGCGGGCCCGGAGGCGGCGGCGCTGCTGGTGGCGTCCGACGAGTGCGAGGACGGCGTGAGCGAGGTCGCGTGCGCGCTGTCCGTGCTCGCGCGGGGCCTGCCCTGGGCGCCCGAGGCCTGCCTCGTCTTCGTCACGGAGCACTGCCGCGCCATGGCGCCGAGCCGCGGCGGCCGGTCTTTGGAGGCCGACGTCGCCGCGCGCCTGCCCAAGGAGTGCCTCGTCGTCGTCGCGTCGACGGACGGCGTGCTGGGACCGACGCCCTCCGGCGAGCTCGCGGAGCTCTGGGACGCCGAGGGCTGCGCCTGCTTGTTATTACGAGCGGGCCTGGGCTGCCGGCCGCCGGCGCTCTGCGTCGTGCCGGACCGGCCCCGGAAGCCCGCGCGGCCCGACGCGCTGCACGCGACGCAGTCGCTCGTCGCCGGCGGGTTGCGGGACGCGCCGCACCGGTTCCGCGACGCGGCCGCGGACGCCGCGGCGACGGCCGCGGCGGGGAGCGGCGTGCGCGTCGCCCAGGCCGTGCGCGAGGCCTACGGCACGCCCAAGTTCCGCGGCGCCGCGCACCTGAAGGCCGCGTTCGTCGAGCGGTGGTTTGACGCGACGCGCGCGGCGCCCGAGGACCTGCACGTCGTGCTCTGCGGCGACACGTCCACGGCGCGCGCCGTCGTCGCGTCGCCGTCGGGCCGGGGCGCCCACGGGCCCCTCGTCGGCGGCTGCGTCGCGGGGTCCGACGAGCTTTTGGGAGGCACGGCGCGCGACCTCCGGCCCGCGGCCGTCGTCGCGCTCTCGCTGCGCGGGGCCGGCGACGCGCGCGCGTCCGCCGCGGCGACGGTCAACGACGGCGCCGGCAAGGTCGCCTACACGGACCTCTGCCGCGCGGCGCTCCGCCGCGGCGGCGTCGCGGCGCCGGGCGGCCGCGGCGTGCGGCCCGCGCTCGCCGTCGTCGCGACGTGCGTCGCCCGGGGGCCACAGTTCCACGGCGGCGAGAGGGACGTCGAAGCCCGCGCGCACGCGGAGCTCCTGGGAGCCGTGCCGCTCGTCGGCTTCCTCGCGAACGGCGAGCTAGGGCCGCGGAACGCGCCGGCGACGTGGCGCGAGGAGGACGGCGAGAGCGACGGCGAGGGAGCGCCGACGGACTACGCGCTTCACGCGTACACGACGTGCCTCGGCTTCCTCGGCGGGCGCGCGCGCTGACGGGGCGCCCCTCGCGGCGCTAAGGATCCCGCGTGCCGACGAGCCGCGCATCTTAGGGCCCCCAGTTCGGGAGCTCGCCGCGCATCTTACGACCCCCAGTTCGGGAGCTCGAGGATCTGGGACGCGCCCAGGTAGGGCGGGAGCTCGAGGCCGTACTTCTCGGCGACGCGCGGCGGCACGAAGCGGCCGCCGACGTAGTGCCTCCCGGCGAAGTGGGAGGCGCACTTCTTCGGCGCCGTCAGCGACACGAGGACGTCCGGCGCGAGCTTCACGGGCCCCGTGGGCCCGTCCTCGACGTGCCAGCCGCTCGGCGTGTCCACGGAGACGAGGGGCGTCGACGTGCGCTCGAGGTCGCGCAGGATTTCGTCGAACGGCGCGCGCGGTTCGCCGTAGAAGGAGAAGCCGAAGACGGCGTCGAGGACGACGTCGAAGCCCGCCGTGTCGGGCATGGCGTCCTCCACGGGGATGCGCAGGTCCTCGCACTGCTTGACGAGGTTGCGGAAGAGCGGCCGGTCCGGGCGCTTCGGGTAGACGACGCGCACGTTCCGCGCGCCGAAGTGCCACAGGTGCCGCGCGGCCACGAGGCCGTCGCCGCCGTTGTTGCCCGGCCCGGCGACGATCAGGATGCCGTCGGCGGCGGGGTAGGCGTCGCGCACGGCGCAGGCGACGCTCAGGCCCGCGAGCTCCATGAGCTGGTCGATGCTGAAGCCCGGGCTCTCCATGAGGTCCACGTCCAGCGCGATGGCCGCCTCCTGGCCGAGGAGCGTGACGCCCTTGCGCGACGTGAGGGTGCTCATGCCTCGGCACGCGTGGCGCGTGAGGAAGAAGAGGCCGATGGCTTTGCGCATCGATGAGGCGCCTCGCAGGTCGGAATTGCCACACCAACAATCGGCGAATCGCTTCATCATTGCCCAGAGCTGACGCGACGAGCAATCTCGTCGGGCATGGCACGGCTCGCAATGCGCATCGTCGCGGTCCTCATAGCCACAACGACAGCGCTGTCGCCGCGCACGGACCACCCGCGACGCCGCGCCACCGCCGCGATCCCGCAGAACAGCTGCGACCGCCGCGGCTTCGGCGCCCTGGTCGTCGCCGCGCCCGTCGCGGCGGCGAGCCGCGCCGCCGCCGCGGACCAGTACTACGACTCGCGGCCGCAGCTCGACGAGGTCGCCGGCCTCGTCGTGCTGCGCGTGGCGCAGGTCGCGGACTTCCAGGAGAAGCTGCTCCGCGAGGTCGCCAAGGGCACGGACCTCGGCGTGCCCGTGACGCCGCAGCAGTTCATCTTCGGCACGGAGCTGCTGCTGCGCAACTCGAACATCGACGGCAACATCAAGCTCATGATCAAGAGCGAGGTGCCGCGGGACTCCAAGGAGCTCGCCATCGCGCGCGCGCCCGTCGTCATGAACGATCTGACGGCGATCACGGACCGCGCGAAACAAGTGCGGACGCCGCTCCTCTCCGGGCGCGACGCGTCGGACATCGCGGACCTCTACGCCCAGTTCCGGCGCGACCTGCTACTCCTCTTCGCGACGCTGCCGCCGGACCTGCAGAAGCGCTACAGCGGCTACGCGGACGCGCTCCTCGCCTACGAGAAGGACCTGAGCAAGAACTGCAAGGGCGGCGCGTCCGGCGGCTGCCTCGAGGAGGAGGCGCCGGAGGCGCCGCCGGCCGGCGGCGACGCGCGGCCCAAGGCCGGCGCCGCGCCCAAGGCCCTCGAGGCCGCGCTCGCGGCGCCCGCCGAGGCCGCGCCGCCGCCGCCGCCGGAGCCGTGGTCGCCGCCGCCCTACAAGCCCGCGCGGGGGTCCTTCGCGGACATGGCGTCGAGGTACTAAACACTCTGCGGAACTTTGAAGCTTAAGGTGGCGCTGCCGGACGAGCGCCCGGGCCCCGTCCCGGCTGACCGACGCCGGCGGCGCCGCGTGACCGCCGGCATCCCGCCGACGAGCTCCCGAGTAAAAAAAAAAGGAAGAAAGGGTGTTAATCGTCTGGTGAATTGGATTGGTGGTGCAGAGAAGCGGACTGTGGTGAATCTGTGGTGTCCAATGAATTGGGGGGATTCGTGCTGAATTGTGGTGTTCAGTATGCAAATTGGGGGTGTCGTTGCGGGCGTCCTCTTCGGGGCCGATTGGTGCTGCATTCGTGTGTGTGTGAGTCTGAATTGGTCGCGTGTGCGGGGTCTAGTGGAGGTGGATGTCGATGGCGCCGCCGTCCTGGCTGATGTTGGGCATGCGGCCTGCCAGGCCGTGGATGTTGATCTGGCTGCCGTCACGTAAAACGACGGCGGTGACGCCGTCGTCGAGGTCGCGGTCCGGGGCGCCGGCCCAGTCGCAGCCGACGCTCGCGTAGGCCGCGCAGCCGTAGTCTGCGTCCACGGATAGCACCGCGTCGCCGTCGCCGTCCGTCATCTTGTCGAAGTCGAGGACGCAGTCGTCGAAGTCGATGGTCTTGTTGGGCACGGCCTCGACGACGTGCTTCTGCGCGTCCCAGAGCTCCATGCCGCCGTCGTCGGCGGGCGGAACGGCGCGCTTGAGCGCGCCCGCGCGGCGGATCGCGACGTTGTACGCGGCCTTGGCGATGGCGACGAGGACCGCGGCGTTCGTGCACGCGTTCACGGCGGCGATGGCGCCGCCGCCGCGGGCGAGCGCGTAGATCTTGAGCGCGAGCTGGGCCGCGGCGGCCGCGGACGTCGTCGCGACGGCCGCGACGGCCAGGGGCGAGTCGCGGAAGCCGTAGCGCTCGACGGCCGGGCCGCGGGGCCGCCGCTTCCGGACGATGCGCGCCTCCCGGAGGAAGCGCCCCGACCCGTCAGCGTCGAAGGCGACGACGGCGTCGACGGCGGGCGCGCGCGGGCGCGACGCGGTCGCGGGCGACACGCAGATCTCCGTCTCGCCGTGGTCGTAGGCGACGTCGAGCGCGCCGTCGACGCCGACGTGGACGACGCGGCCCGCGAGCTTCCCGTCGCCGACCTCGACGCGCGCGCCCGGGCGCAGGGGCCGGTCGCCCTCCTTGCGCTTCTCCGCGCCGACCCTGTCCTTGTCGCGCGCGCGGAGCAGCTCCTCGCGGACGGCGGGGACCACGGTGCCGTCCTCGAGCTCGACGTCGTAGCGGTCCCGGGGGAAGACGCGCGCCCAGGGCAACACGATGGCGACCTCGAGCTTGGAGGCCGTCGCGAGCGCGAGCGCGAGCGCCCAGAGCGGGCCGTGCTTCGAGGCCGCGCCCGCGTCCATCGCGCCCCGCCGGCGGACGAGGCGCAGGAGCGCCGGAGCGTTGGCCAGCGCGTGCGCCGCGAGGAGCGCGGCGGCGAGCGGGAAGAGGGCGGCGTCGCCGTAGGAGTCGCAGGCGAAGAGCACGTCGCAGGCGGAGTCGACGGCGCCGCCGAGGAGCGCCGCGCGCGCGACGGCCGGGAACGGCACGCGGCGCGGCCCCGCGGGCGCCGCGCGCGGCGCGACGACGACGACGGCGGCGACGGCCGCGGCGACGAGGATTGCGAGAAGCGGGCAGAGCCCGACGCCGATGCTCGCGACGAGCACGCCGCCGTCGGCGTCGCTCTTCGCGCGGCCCGGGGGCGTCGTGGGGGGCGGCGTCGGCGCGCCCGTCGCCGTGGGGCTCACCGACGTCGGCGCGCCCGTCGCCGTGGGGCTCGCCGACGTCGGCGCGCCCGTCGCCGTGGGGCTCACCGACGTCGGCGCCGGGGACGCCGAGGGCGACGCGGAGGACGGCAGGGGCGACGGGAGGAACGTCGGCGCGGACGAGGGCTCGCGGAAGCAGCGGCTCAGCATCTTCGAGTCCGGCACGGACGGCTCGGAGGACCCGGCGGCGTTGACCGCGACGATGGCGATGTTGACCCGCACCCAGCAGGGGAGCCGGGCGCCGAGCGTGAACTGGTGCGCCCGCGGCTCGCGGCGGCCGTAGCGCGCGAGGAGCTCCTCCTTGACCCTCGCGAGCTGCTCCTCCGTCGCGTTCGCGAGCTGCTCCAACCGCGTCGCGAGGCGGCGGCGCGCGTCGTAGGTGTAGAGCGCCGCGGTCGTGACGTTCGTCGAGTTCGTCTCCATGTCGTAGAGCATGAAGCTCGAGGGCTCGCCGCCGTAGCCGCTGTCGACCCAGGTCACCGCGGACGTGTTGTCGTTGAGCGTGACGTTGACGGGCGCCTCCGGCGGGAGCATCGGGATCGTCGGCGCGTTCGACGGCGTCGACGACGTCGGCGGGGAGGACGGCGCGGACGTCGTCGGCGACGGGGACGGCGCGCCGGGGGCGACCGGCGCGGGCGAGAACGTCGGCGCGCGCGACGGCCACGCGCACAGGTTCGACTCGCCGCCGAAGACGAAGTTGCGGCCGCGGTCGGCCCAGCAGGTCTCGCAGGGCGCCGCGAGGTAGACGTCGAAGGACGACCGGGGGCACTTGAAGACGAACATGATGGCGCGCGCGGACTGGTCCACGGGGAAGTAGGCGTCGAGGCCGCTGCTCGCGCATTGGTCGCAGTCGCCGCAGGCCACGGCGCCCAGGTTGTTCGCGTCCGTCGGGTTGTCGCAGAGGAAGCCCGGTCGGAGCGCCGCGAACGTCGTCGACGAGACCGCGCGCGTGCCGTCGCACGACGTCTCCGACGCGTAGACGACGAGATCGTCGCCGCCGACGTAGTCGTCGAACATATCGTCGTCGACGCAGATGGCCTCGGAGTGCTTCGCGAAGTCCTTCTGCCGGTCGATGTCGAACCAGGTGAAGTAGAACTTGTCGAGGACGACCTCGTCGTCCGTCTCCGAGTCCACGAGCGAGAACTTGAGCGCCGCCGTCGTGTTGTCGGCGACGTTGATCTGGCCGAAGCTGCCTGATTTGCCCATGTATTCAACGTGCGCCACCGTCAGGCTCCCCGAGACGACGAGGTCGACGCCGCGGCCCTCGTGGTAGCCCACGGGCGAGTATCGCAGGACGCCGCCGTCGCCGAGCGTGTCCTCGACGACGTCGGCCGTCTCGACGGAGATCTGGAACGCGCCGCCGTTGCAGACGTCCCAGTCCGAGCAAGACGTCGGCGCCGCGGTCTCCGTCGACGGCGCGAGCGTCGACGGCGCGCGCGTCGTCGGCGCGCCCGTCGGCGGGGCCGTCGGCGCGCCCGTCGGCGCGGTCGACGGCGCCGCGGTCGTCGGCGCGTTCGACGGCGCTATGGTCTTCGTGACGACGGTGCCGACGTCGCAGACCGTCGAGCCCACGAGCGTCTCGTTGTCGAGCACGGCCGCGAGCGTCTGCTCGATGACGTGGGCGTACTGGTAGACGCTGCCCGCGCCGTCGCCCGAGTACTCGACGAGCTCTTCGGCGAGGACGACGACGGTGACGCGGTACGTCGTCAGGACCGCGGTGTAGTTCGTCACGCACGTGGCGCCGGCCTCGTCGAGGCGCCGCGCGGCGGCGGCGCTCGCGTTGACGCGCTCGGAGTCGCAGGTGAGGTTCGACACCGCGTCGACGCTGACGCCGACGACGGCGGCGACGTAGGCCTCGGCGATGACCTCGCCGTCGGCCGTCTGCACGGCGCTGCACGCCGAGTCGCTCGCGTTGATGACCGTCAGGTTCGTCCCGTTGCCCGCCGCCGCCGTCCAGATGACGTCGATCTCGACCGTCGCCGCGGTGGGCGCGGCCGAGGGCAGGGACGTCGTCGGCGTCGCGGTCGGCGTCGAGGTCGTGGGCGTCGCGGTCGTCGTTGGCTCGGAACTCGGCCGGTCTAGGCTCGGGTCCCCGTCGTCGTCGTCCGCGGCGGTCGGCGCTGCGCTCGGCGCGGTGCTCGGCCGCGGCGTCGGCGCCGGCGACGGCGTCGCCGTCGTCGGCGCCGCCGTCGGGTGCGGCGTGTAGGAGACGTCGACGACGCATGAGTCCGACGCGCAGGTCCCGTCGGCGCACGCGAGCGTCAGCGTGTACGTGTTCACCTCCGCGTCCGCGGAGACGACGACGGAGTGCGACTCGTCGTTGGCGATCGTGTTGCTGGCGACGACGGCGCCGTCGGACGTCGCGACCGTGACGGTCACGTCCTCGCAGGCCGCCGCGTCGCCGCGGTACTCCCACGAGAGCGCGCACTCGACGCCCGCGACGCACGTGAAGAGAGTGCCGACGTCGACGATGCCGACGGAGCAGCCCGTCGGCGCCCAGCTCGGCGACGGCGTCGGCGCGGACGCGGGCTCGACGGAGGGCGACGCCGTCGGCGCGCGGCTGGGAACCGAGGTCGTCGGCGACACCGTCGTCGGCTCGGGGCTCGGCGGGAACGTGTACGAGACGTCGAAGGTGGCGCTGTCCGAGGCGCACGTGCCGTCCGAGCACGCGAGCGTGATGTCGTAGGTGCTGACCTCGGCGCTGCCCGGGACGACGATGGTGTGCGACCCGTCGTTGTCGAGCGCGCTGCCGTCCACGGTGCTGCCGTCGGCGGTGTTGGTGACCGTCGCCACGATCGACGCGCACGACGCGCCGTCGCCCTGGTAGTCCCAGGTCAGCGTGCACTCGACGCCCGAGACGCACGTCATCGACGAGCCGATGCTCACGACGCTCAGGAAGCAGCCCGTGGGAGCGGCCGTCGGCTCGGGCGTGGGGGCGGGCGTCGGCTCGGGGCTCGGCTCGGGCGTGGGAGACGGCGTCGGGCGCGGGTGAGGGGAAGGCGTAGGCCTCGGCGTGGGCTCGACGGACGGAGTGGCCGTCGGCCGATACGACGGCTTGGACGTCGTCGGCGAAAGCGTCGTCGGCTCGGGGCTCGGCGGGAACGTGTACGAGACGTCGAAGGTGGCGCTGTCCGAGGCGCACGTGCCGTCCGAGCACGCGAGCGTGATGTCGTACGTGCTGACCTCGGCGCTGCCCGGGACGACGATGGTGTGCGACCCGTCGTTGTCGAGCGCGCTGCCGTCCACGGTGCTGCCGTCGGCGGTGTTGGTGACCGTCGCCACGATCGACGCGCACGACGCGCCGTCGCCCTGGTAGTCCCAGGTCAGCGTGCACTCGACGCCCGAGACGCACGTCATCGACGAGCCGATGCTCACGACGCTCAAGAAGCAGCCCGTGGGGGCGAGGCTCGGCGCGGGCGTCGTCGGCGACGGGCTCGGCGCGGGCGCGGGCGCGGGCGTCGGCGCGGGCGTCGGCGCGGGCGACGTCGGCGTCGGCGCGGGCGTCGGCGCCGCCGTCGTAGGCGCCGGCGCGGGCGCGGCCGTCGGCGCCGCGGCGGGAACGGCCGTCGGCGCGCCCGACGGCTCGGACGTCGGCGCGGGGGTGTACGAAACGTCGAAGCCGACGCTGTCCGAGGCGCAGGATCCGTCCGCGCACGCGAGCGTGAACGTGTACGAGCTGACCGCCGCGCTTCCCGGGACGACGTGCGAATGCGAGCCGTCGTTGTCGATGGTCTCGCTCGCGATGGTGCTCCCATCGCTGGGGTCTTGGACGCTCGCGACGACCGACGTGCACGACGAGCCGTCGCCTCGATAGTCCCAGGTCAAAATGCACGCCACGTTCGAGACGCACGTCATCGACGTGCCGATGCTGACGACCGTCGGAACGGACGTGGGGACGCTCGACGGGACGGACACGGGGCTCGCGGACGGCGGCGCGCTCGGGGCCGAGGAGGGCGACGCGCTCGGCGACGCCGAGGGGCACGCTGTCGGTAGGGCCGAGGGCTCGGGCGTTGGTAGGGCCGTGGGCGCGGCCGTCGGAGCGGCCGTGGGCGCGGCCGTCCCGGGGGGGGTCGGAGCGACCGTGGGGGGGGTGGGCGCGGCCGTCGGAGCGGCCGTCGGAGCGACCGTGGGCGCGGCCGTCGGAGCGGCCGTCGGAGCGGCCGTGGGCGCGGCCGTCGGAGCGGCCGTGGGCGCGGCCGTCGGCGCGGCCGTCGGCGCTGCCGTGGGCGCTGCCGTCGGCGCGGCCGTGGGCGCGGCCGTCGGAGCGGCCGTGGGCGCGGCCGTCCCGGGGGGGGTCGGAGCGACCGTGGGCGCGGCCGTCGGAGCGGCCGTCGGAGCGGCCGTGGGCGCGGCCGTCGGAGCGGCCGTGGGCGCGGCCGTCGGCGCGGCCGTCGGCGCTGCCGTGGGCGCTGCCGTCGGCGCGGCCGTGGGCGCGGCCGTCGGAGCGGCCGTGGGCGCGGCCGTGGGCGCGGCCGTCGGCGCTGCCGTGGGCGCTGCCGTCGGCGCGGCCGTCGGCGCCACCGAGGGCGAGCACGCTGGGGCCTCCGGCGCCGCCGTCGGCGCCGGCGCCGGCGCCGAGTTGCACGCGGCTAGCAACGTAAGTTCCACGTAAGCTCCGATGCTGCTCTCGAGCTCGCCCTCCATCGCGTCAATGAACAGGTCCGGGGTCGACGCCATCAGCTCGAAGACCTTCTCGTACTCTTGGCCGTTCATGTAGTTCTTCACGCCCACGACCGTCGTCGAGAAGTTCGTTCTCGCGTTGAATCTTTCCGCGACGTGAGCGGCGCATTGGCAGGACGTGGCCTTTTTGTAATTGTTGTTGTTTGGGCAATCATCAGCTTTGATGAACGGGCGTCCCTCGGCCACGCAGCTCGTCGCATCGCACGTGTTGTATTCCGCGCATTCCGCTCTGCAATTCATCGCATCGATAGTCAGGAACGTTTCGGCGTCGCTAGCCAGCAGCTTTTCTTCGTCGTCGCAGGCTGCGGATGCCGTATTCGGCGCGCCGTCGGTGATGAGCACGTGAGACTTGAACGGCGAATCGACGGGATCCAGCAACTCCGCGGCTAGCTGGAAACCTTCGGGGTGGTTTGTGTGCGTGTCTGACACGTCTCCATAGTCTTCTGGTATTGCGTCAGAGAAAGTGGTGTAGTCGGTCGTAAAATCTGTCACCAGTTTCGGCGAGTCATCGTGCTTCCCGTTGAACCAGTAAGCCGCCACCTTGTGCGGCTCTTTCCCATCAGCAAGCCTATCGACGTTCAAATCGAGTAACGTCGCGGCCATCTGGTTGGTGAAGTCGCGAGCAATGTCCCATCCCGTTGATGTCATCGATTTACTCGCGTCCAAGCCGAACACGAAGTACGCCGGTTCTCTGTAGCACTCGTCGATGGGGCTTCCATACGTCGGCTTGTCCGTGCACGCGGCCCCCCCCGGCGAGGGCGCGACCGTGGGCACCGCCATCAGCGCGGCCGTGGGCGCGGCCGTGGGCGCGGCCGTGGGCGCGGGCGACGGCGCGGCCGTCGTGGGCTCGGCCGACGGCGCCCGCGACGGCTCGAAGGTGGACGTGGGCGCCATGGTCGGGCAGCCGAGGATCATGCCGCTCTTGCCGGCGAAGTAGAAGATGCGGCCCGAGTTGCCGACGGAGCCCGACGTGTCGGAGTCGAGCGTGACCTCGAAAGACGCGCGGTCCTCGATGGCGAGCGTCACCGTGCGGTCCTCCTGGTTGATGGGGCAGCCCGCGGTGGTGCAGTCGTCGCAGGACACTTCTTCGAGGACCATGGGCCCGCTCGGGTTGTCGCAGCCCTTGCCGACGCCCGTCGCCTCGAAGAGGACGCTGCTCCCCGCGGTCGCGCCGTCGCAGAGCGTCGCCCGCGACGTGACGTCGACCTCGGCGTCGGCGCCGCTCGTCATGAAGTAGGACGCGACGCCGTGGGCCTCGTCGTCGATGCACAGGCTCTCGGCGCGGCCGCTGCTCATCGTGTCGAAGTCGAAGAGGGTCCAGTAGAAGCTGTCGAGCGTCACGGGCGCGTCGCCGTCGTCGGGGTCGACGAAGTCGAAGCCGAGGACGACGCTCGTGCCGATGCGCACGTTGATCTTCCCGAAGCCGTTCGCCGCGCCGTTGCAGCCGTCGCAGCTCGTCGTCGGCTCGTAGTGGGACCGGTTGGAGACGACCAAATCGATCGTCTTGCCGCGGTACGTCGCGACCGACGTGAACCGCAGCACCTGCCCCGGGGCGCTGCAGGCCACCGTCCCGCTCATCCCGCTGCCCTTGCAGTCGCCGACCACGCCGCCGAGGTTGTTCTGGGAGATGCCGCCGACGCTGAAGTCGACGTCGACGAAATCCCCCAGGCAGGTCCCCGTCGTCGTCTGCAGCAGGCGGCCCGAGCCGCCGCCGCCGCCGCCGCGCGGGAGGCCCTCCGCCCCGCGGACCGCCGCCGCACCCGAGGCGGCTGCGACCAGGACCCACGCGGCGGCACGACGGGGGAACATCGTCGATCGACTTCCAGCCCAAGCCCGCCGCCGATCAGTGCTTCCAGTGTTTCAGTGTCGCCATGCCGCGCATGTGGGGCGTAGAAGCCAGATCAATGTTTCCGGTGTTTCTATGCCCAATGGGATCTATATCTAGACTTAATAGAGTATCCTTGCTATGCCTGACCGGGTGCAACGTGCCAATGGTGCTGGCGTTACTTCGCACGACCACGCGCGGCGGGCACCGAGCGCGCTTTGAGCTCCTCGAGCGTCGCCGGGTAGACGAGCATGATGGCATTGAAAGCGCTCCTTCGAGTCGTGGGCGCAGTCCTCCTCGTCTTCGACGCGACCGCGTCGAACTGCACGGGCGACTCCGGCGACGCCTACGACTTCACGGGCCAGGCCTACGCGGGCCAGCGCGTTCTCGCGCTCGTCAACGGTAACCCGAGGTCGAGCAAGAACAAAGATGCGGGCGACAACCTCACCTGGGTGTGCTACGGCACGTACGAGGCCCGCCACACGGCCTACAGCCGCGCCATTAAGTACGGCGACTCGACGCTCATGACGACGACGTACGCGGAGGGCGTGGAGATCGTCGCCCTGCCCGTGAATCCGTCGGCGCCGGACGGGAGCGACGTGAACTGCGGCCTCGAGATGGTGAACAACGCCTACAACACGAAGCTCGACGCGCCGCTCTCCGTGGGCGCGTCGAACGTCGTCGTCTGGACGGCGGACGACGCGCTCGAGCTCGTCGACGCGGTCCCCCGGGCTTTGGGCGACCCGGCGGCGTTCGTCCTCGGCAACGACGGCGGAACCACGGACTGCACGTTCACGACGCCCCTCGGCGATTTCGTCGTCGCCGCGCGCTCGCGGGCCGTCGTCAACGTCACCGACGCCTGCGCCGCCGCCGCCGGCGGCTTCGCCGTCGCCGCGGACTGCGGCGGCCTCCGAGCTTCGGCGACGTACTGCTCCGGCGCGTTCTGCCCCGGCGCGTCGACCTACTTTGGCGTCGTCTACGACGAGGACGGCGCGGGGATCAGGCTCGAGCGGACGCAGGCGACGGCCTGCGGCAGCGTCCTGCAGCCGTGACGATTTTCGAGAGCTTTTCACCGGGAAAACGATGAAAAATCGTTACCGACGCATTTGGTAGGCCTGCGGCGACCTCGACTGCGACGCGCCGCGCCCGCCGAAGGGCGCGTGCGCCGGCGACAGCGGCCCCGCGGCCGACGGCGCCGGCCGCGTCTACGCGCAACACGTGGTCCTCGCCGTGCTCAACGCGGATCCGTCGTCGGCCTACGCGTGCTTCCGCTTCGACGACGGCGCCGCGCAATTTTCCGCGCCGGTCGCGTACGGCGCGTCGTTCCATTTCGTCGCGAACGCGACGTCCGCCGTCGCCGTCGCCGCCAAGTCCGTCGACGGCGCCGGCGACGCGTGCGACCGCGGATCTCTTTTGAACAAGCTTCAGTACCGCACGACGGCCGAATCGCTCGCGCTCGCGCCCGCGCACGTGAATTTCGTGGTCCTCACGCCGGCGCCGAAGCTCCTCCAGCTGAAGATCTTCGACACGCAGGACTTCCCGGAGGTCGACACCTTCGTGCTCGCGAACTTCGCGGAGGACGCGTCGGGCCTCGAAAACCCTTCGGCGGGCTACTGCCGCTTCGTCGACGCGTCGGGCTACGTCGGCGCCGACGGCCTCGCCATCGAGGCCTACTCCTTCTACGAGGACGTCTGCGACCGCGTCGCCGCCGACGGGGGCTACGAGACGATGCGCGCCGACTGCAAGAGCTTCGACCCCAGCGGCGCCAGAGTCGTCTCGACGGCGGCGACCTTCTGCGCGGACGCGTTCTGCCCCGGGAGCGCGACGCTCTTCGCGACGCTCGACGACGGCGAGGGCGGCGTCTTCGTCGCGCGCGCGCTCGGCGCGCCCTGTGGGAAAGGCCACTGCGGCTCGGCGTAAGGAGGTTCTTACCGGGCGTCGAAGCGAACCCGGGCGGGGATCTTGGGTCTTGGGTCTTGGCGCATCGCACGCGGCCTCAGGGCCGGACGCGCTTCGCGGGCGGCTCGTCCTCGAGGAAGTTGGCCATGTCGATGCCGTCGAAGTAGCTCTCGACGGGCGCCTCGACGACGGGCGGCGGCGGCGCGGCGGGCGCCGGCGGCGGCGCGGCGGGCGCCGGCCGCGGCGGCGACGCGGCCCGCGGCGCGGGCGGGCCCCGCGCGGCCGGCGCGGCTCGCGGCGGTCCGCGCGGCGGCCCGCGCGGCGGCGGCGGCGACGCGCGCGGCGGCCCCCGCGGCGGCCCCCGCGGCGCGGGCGCGGCGGCCGGCGGGACGACGGCGCGCGGCGGCGGCGAGGCGGCCGGCGCGGCGGCCCCCGGCGGCCGGCGCGACGACGGCGGCCGGCGCGACGACGGCGGCCGGCGGCACGACGGCGGCCGGCGCGACGACGGCGGCCGGCGGCACGACGGCGACGGCGGGCGGCGTGATGGACCGCGCCATCGGCGGCCGGGGCGCGGGCGGCGCGGCCGCGGCGGCCGGCGGCGGCGGCGCCGTCGCCGGGCGCGGCGCGACGGGCGGCGCGGCCGCGGCGGGCCGCGGCGGCGGCGGCGACGCCGCGCGCGGCGGCGGCGACGCCTGGGGCCCGCGCGGCGGCGCCTGGGCGCCTTTGCCGGCGTTGCGGACCTCCTTGACGCGGTCCTTCGAGTAGACCATGTTGCCGAGCGCCTCGCCGAAGCAGCGGAGCGCGCGCTTCTTCGCGTCGGTGATCGCCGCCTTCTTGGCCCGGCCGATGACCTCGCCCTTGTTCCGCGCCTGGAGGCTGCTGAAGCCGAGGTCCTCGTGGTACGCCGCGTTCTCGCCGCCGGCCGCGAGCACGGTCACGCGCACGATCGCGGACACGCCGACGGACCACTGGCCCTTGACCTCCTCGCAGAAATCCATGGTGACGTCGATGATGTTCGAGCTCCAGCCGCTGAAGCCAAAGATCGTGTTCGCCATCTCGAAGACGTCGTGATTCTGGATGTAGGTGAGCTTCTGCCCGCCGGGGCCGACGCGCGACGACAGCATCTCCGCGGGCACGCCGGCGTCGAGGCGCGCCTGGATCTCGTCCATGCGCGCGTCGTGCGTGCCGCAAACCGTGTCGTCGTCGAGTGTCATCATGTCCGCCATGGCGCGCGAAGCGTTGTGTGAGACGTCGGTGACGGCTCGTAGCGCGCCGAGGGGCCCGCGGACGGCGGCGGCGTCGGCTCCGGCGGCCGCAGCGACGGTGTGGCACTCGACGACAACGGCGCCGACGGCGCGTAGCGCGGGCGACGGCGAGGACGACGGGTGCGCGGACGGTGGCAGCACAAACGCGAACGGCGTCAGAAACACGATGTCGTCGACGAGCGTGTGGGACGTGACGCGTCGAGTGGTGCGGCACCGCTGTTGGTCGCAAGCGCGCGCCCGCCGCGGAGCAAGAAGCTTCTCTCGCCATCCTGGCCGGGGGTCGAGGCTCTGCCGCCCCAGGCCTCGCCAAGCTCAATGCTTACTACTTCGTGGACCGGACCTTTGTTGTTCGGTGCTCGTTAGGGCAGTGCGAGTCCAACGCGATCAAGCGACGGCTGAGGGGCAGTGGTCCGACCGCGCCGCCTTTGCCGACTCAAGCCGACTTGGCCGGAGTTACAGGAAACGAGCAGCTTGATGGAGGCAACGATGGGAGAGCATCGCACCCGCCGTCTCCACCTCCGCTTGGCGCTTCTCATCGCAAGCACCAGCGCGTTGGCAGCGCGACGCGGCTTCGGCACCAAAGCGCCTTCGACGCGCAATGGCAAAGCCTGGCCTGCTGGAAGCGTCGCTGCGCCGGCGGCGCCGAGCTGGGCGGAGCTGAGCGCGCGCATCGATGCAACCGCAAAAAGCGCGCCGCGACACATGAATGCAACAAAAAGCGCGCCGCGACACATGAATGCAACCGCAAAAAGCGCAGACCCGTCGGTCGTCCTCTGGCGCGACGCGGCGTACTGGTGCCCCTACTGCCAGGCCGTGGAGATCGCGCTCGGCGAGCGCGCGATCGACCACGTCGTCGAGGTCGCGCCGATGCGCTGCTACGGCGCGAAGCCGCGCGCGTTCCTCGACCTCGTCGGCGACGCCACCATGCCCGTGCTCGTCGTCGACGGCGTCGTCTACCCGTCGTCGCGGTCGGCGCTGGAGAAGGTCTGCGACGAGGCGCGGTTCCCGCCGCCGCGGCACCCGCCGCTCGGCGCCTTCGCGGGCGGCTTCGCCGCCGAGCGCGAGCTGGCGACGGCCTACGGCCTCTGGCTCCTGGACAACCGCGGCGCGGCGCGCTTCCACGCGGCGCTCGACGCGGCCGAGGACGCGCTCGGCGGCGACGACTTCTTCGGCGGCGCCGCGCCGTCGTGCGCGGACGCGGCCATGGCGCCGACGCTCGAGCGGGCGGCGGCCGTCGCGGGCTACTGGAAGGGCGACGCCTCGGTGGCCGGCGGCGGCGTCGAGCTCGCGCTGCCCGAGCGGCCGCCGCCGAGGCACGCGAAGCTCCAGGCCTGGGCCGACCGCTTCGAGCGGCGGGGCCACTGGCGACGGGGCGACTGGTACACGCACGGGCACTCGCTGCCGGCCCAGCTCGGCGGGCAGTCCTTCGCCTCGACGACCATCCGGGACGCGATCGACGGCCACCGGGCTTCGCGAGAAGCCAACGAAATCGCCCGCCGCGCCGCCGCCGCGGCCCTCGCCGGCAACGCCGAGGCCTGCGTTCGCTTCGCGGCGCGCGGCTGCCGGCGCGCGACGCGACGAAAGACGGCGAGAGGCAAGGCGCCGCTCGCGGATCCCGACGTCGTCGACGTGCCCGAAGAGTCGCTCCCGGCCGTCGACGCGCTGCTTCGCATCGTCGTCGCGAGGCTCCTCGCGGACGAGGGCGCCGACGCGCTCGCCGCCGACGCCGCGCGGGCCCTGCCCGCGGCGCCCGCGGCCGCGGCGATGGCCTACCTCCGGGACCGCGTCGGCGTGCCGCGGGACATGCCGCACGCGGAGGCCCACGAGCTCCGCTGCGTGCTCGCGTGGCTGCACGACGTCCTCCTGAGGCGCCGATTTAAAAAGGACGTGACGTCATCGCCCGCCCTTGGCCGCCGCCGCGCGCGCCTCCGCGGCCGCGCGCTGCTTCTCGGCGAAGGCCGCGGGCGTGTTGAGCTTGGAGAAGGGCACGCTGACGGCGTCGTCGTCGCAGAGCGGGTAGCGGAGGGCCGTCGGCGCGTCCGCCGGGAGCGGCGCGAACTCCGCGCCGGTCGCGCACGTCGCGAGGTCGGCCTTGGCTCGCCGCGTGAGGGCCCGGACGGCGTCGAGGGCCACGTCGTGGCGGACGAGGCGCGGCGCGAGCCGCTCGGCGCCGGCCTTGACGATGTCCTCCGTGGGCATGTCGCGGTGCACGAAGACCGCGAGCGCGTCGCCGTCGACGAGGAAGCCGTCGACGGGGTAGTCGGCCGTGCGGCCCTGGATCTCGCAGCCCAGGTCCAGCAGCTCCTCGAGGGCCCCGAAGTGGACGCCGTCGCAGGTCGCCGCGAGGCCCAGCACGCATCTGCCGCCCCGGTTCACGGGGAAGAGGCCCAACAGCGTCGCGTCGTCCGTCGGGTTCGCGTTCACCTGGGCAGCACAAGAGAGATGCAACGTCGCTTCAACGTGAGTGTTCCGCGCGATCGAGTTCCGTAAAAAAGCATCCACGCTTCGAGCGCGTTCCGAGAGATGATCGCTCGTCCAAAAATCAGCCAAAACGAGTGGAAAACGGCCGAGATAGGAGCCTTTGAAGTTGGGAATTTCGCTCTCTTTTCCTGCCCTCGCGTTCACGGCCGCGTAGTAGACCGACGCGAAGGGCACGTCGCAGGGCCCCCAGCCGAGGATGGACACGGGCGTGAAGGCGCCGAAGGGCCCCGCGGGCGCCGGCGCGAAGGCGACCTGGACCCAGCGGTGCTGCTTCGCCGTGTTCAGTCGCCCGTAGAGCGCGACGCGGCCGCCCCGGGGCTCGACGGCCGCGGACAATTTGCCGTCCCACTCGCAGACGAGCACGGCGGCGCGGCCCTCGAGGCAGCCGCCGTGCGTGCCGCGCACGACGACCGCGCCGCGCGCCGCGCCGCCGTCCGCGAGCGCGCGGACGGACGGCGCGGAGAAGTGCTGCACGCCCGTGGCGCCGGACGTCGCGCGGCCGCCGTAGACGTGCACGGAGCCGTCGGTCCACTCGAGGAGCGCGAAGTTGTGGCCCGGCACGCGGATCTCGCGGTCCGACGGGTCGAGGCCGAGGCGCACCTCCCGCTCGCCGTCCGTCCGCGACCCGCCGAGCGGGTCCGGGACGCCCGGCGGCCAGGCCACGAGCACCTCCTCGGGCGCCGCGTTGGGCCAGCGGCCGTCGCGCGCGAAGAGGCGCCAGGAGCCGCCGTCGCGCGCGACGGCGAAGAACCGGAACGCGCGGCCGACGGCGAACGTCGCGACGCGCCGCGACGCGACGACGGCCTTCGACCGCGCGACCTCGGCCTCGCTCCCGAGGAAGGGCGGCGGGACCAGGGCGCAGGCGACGCTCGCGCGGCCGTCGGGCGCGCGCGCCGCGGCCGTCGCGGCGACGCGGTGCCGCGCGAGCACGCACCGGTCGCCGCCCGTGCCGTTCGACGGCAGGAAGTTGGACACGCGGCACCGCGGCCGCGTCGCGCAGAGGCGGTCGCACTCGCGCGGCAGGTTCAGCCGCCCGGGCAGCGCGTGGGTCAGCGGCTGGAAGCCCTCGTAGACGACGCCCTCCTCGCAGCGGAACAGCCGGCGCCAGTTCGCGTACTCCTCCTGGTCGTTGCGCGCGTGCTGCCGCGCCTTCTCCGAGACCTTGGCGGTCGCGGTCGCGACGATGACGGCGACGCGCCACCACCGCGACGGCATCGCGCTTGGTTTTTTTTAGGCTGCCATCTCGTTAATTATAATGTAGTGTGAGTTCTTGCAGTGGAGTTGCATTTTTTTTTCGGGAGCATGGAGCCGAGGAGACTTGCCATCAAAGCGAGGCTCGGCGCCACGGTGCGTGCCGGCCCTGACTTGGATTCCGAAGAGCTTGGAAATCTAGCGCTTGGCACATCAGTCGTCGTCGTCGAGGAGACAACTGCCAGCGGCCGGCAGCGCCTGAAGCTGGGGCAGCCCCTGGAAGGATGGATTAGCGCGCGGTGCGTCGGTCCGGCGCCGGCGCCGGTCGTCGATGAAGCGCCTCGAGAGCTTTCAGCCATCGCCGAGGTTCACGAAGCGGCGCGCGCGCGACGCGACGAGGCGCCGACGCCACCCGTCGCGGAGCTCCCTCCGCGGCCGGCGGCTCCGCTCGCGCCGCGGCCGGCGGCTCCGCTCCCGCCGCGGCCGGCGGCTCCGCTCCCGCCGCGGCCGGCGGCTCCGCTCCCGCCGCAGCCGGCGGCTCCGCCGCGGGCCGTCCCCTCCTTCGACGACGAGGTCATCATCGACGCCAGCGTTCGCCGCGAGGCCCAAAGCCGCGTGGGGTCGCGCCTGCCCTACGAAATCGACGACGTGGAACGAATCGCGCCCGGCGTGATCTGCGTGCGGGGCTCGAACCCCTCGTACGAGACCGGTCCCGGAACGAACACGTACCTCGTCGGCACCGGCGCGGCGCGCGTACTCATCGACACGGCCGACGGGAACGAAACGTGGCGCCGACGGCTCGAACGCGTCTGCAAAAAAGAGGGCTGCGCCGTCGCGCGCGTCTTCCTGACGCATCATCACTGGGACCACTCGGGCGGTCTGAACTGGGTGCTCGGCACCTGGCCGGAGGCGTCGAAACGCCCCTGCGCGCTCGGCGACGGCGAGATCTGCGCCGACGTGCCGGGCGTCGCGTTGCGCGGCGTGCACTCGCCCGGCCACTGCAACGAGCATGTGTGCTACGAGCTCACGTCGCACGACGGCGGACTCTTCACGGGCGATTTGATGCTCGGCGAGGGCACCGTCATGATCCTCGCGCCGCCGCACGGCAGCATGGACGACTACCTCGCGTCGCTCCTCCGCGTGCGCCTCATGCGGCCCCCCGCGATCTTCCCCGGCCACGGGCACAGCGTCCGGGGGACGGCCCTGTGCTGCGCGTTCACCGAGGCATACTACCGCGTCCGCGTGCAGCGCGAGGCCCAGATCCTGTCGATGCTCGCCGCGGGCGCGGGCACCGCGGACGACGTCGTGTCCGCGCTGTACTCGAACCGGCCCGGCTTCACGCGCGAGATGCGCGCCGCGGCGACGACGACGACGAACGCGACGCTCCACCGCCTCCACCGCCTCGGCGCCTGCGCCCGGGGGAGCCACGGGCGCTGGCGGCCGGCGTAACAAACGAGTCGCGAATTGCCTACTCCGGCGCGGGCGCCACCCGCGGCGACGCCGGTGACCGGGGTGGCGCTCGGGCCTCGGCGGCGCGCCCGCGGACGCGACCTGGATGACGCGCGCGACCATGCCGCGCTCCCGGCGGTCGTTGAGGCCCGCCTCGTACATGCTCTTGCGGCTGCCCGTGTGCATGAAGCGGCTCAGGCAGGCGCAGCAGCACGTGAGCGCGAGGAGCAAGACGGCGCCGTAGATCACGTAGACGAACTCGTCGAAGGCGTCGTCGTCGTCCTCCTCGCCCGTCGGCCGCGCCGTCGGCGAGAACGTCGCCACGGAGAGCTCGACGTCCGCGAGGACGAGCGCGTCGACGTTGGCCACGGAGCGGTCGACGTCGACGTCCAGGACCAGCACCGCGGCGTCGCCGGACGCGTTGCGGTACGCCGCCTCGGATGCCAAATACGCCGCGAAGGCGCCGCTCTCCATCGACGCCGCGACCTCCGTCTTCACGGCGGCCAGCGACGCGTTGACGAAGACGTCGACGTCGTCGAGGGCGAAGGTGTCGAAGACGACCGCGTAGGTCACGCGGACGCGGTGGTTCGTGGCAGACGCCGCGTTCGCCGCCGCGGCCGCGCAGCCCTCGACGCCCGTCGCCGACGGCGCCGCGAGGCGCACGGCGGCGCAGAAGGTCGCGCCATTGGTCTCGTCCGCGTTGAAGGCCGCGGCGTAGTCGACGCTCTCCGTCGAGAGGCGCCGGCGGGCCGCGGCCGTCGCGTTCGCCGCCGTACCGTTCGCCGCGGTCGGCGCCGCCGTCGGGCCCGGCGACGGCGCAGCGGACGGCGCGGCCGTCGTCGTCAGGTCGTCGTCGCCGGAGACGAGGCCCGGCGGGTCGAGCATGGCGTCGACGCTCACGGACGCGACGTAGCGGTCCGGCGGGTACGAGACGAACGTCTCCGCGAAGCCCGGGCCCGTAGCCCCGTCGTCCGAGACCTGGGGCGCGCCGAGCACGACGGGGCACGTCTTCTTCGCCCGCGCGTCGGCGCCGTAGCACCGCACGGCGACGGCGCTCCCCGCGGAGTCGTAGGCGAAGCCGTAGCGGGGCACCAGGGTCTCCGTCGACGTGAGCTCCGTCCAGGTCGCGCCGTCGTCGCGCGTCTTGTAGGCGTGGGCCCGGCCGCCGTCGACGCCGACGGCGTCGTCCGCGGGCGCGCCGACGACGGCGACGTCGCCGGAGAGCGCGACGGCCTCGCCGAAGCGGCTCGCGAGGCCGCGCGACTCCGCGGTCGCGTCGTTGCCCGAGGGCAGCAGCGTCTGCCGCAGGGCGCCCGTCGCGGCGGAGAAGACGTAGGCCTTGCCGCGGTGCCCGCCGACGAGCACGCTCGCCCCGCTCACGGCGACGGCCGCGCCGAAGCGCTCGCTCAGCGACGGGGAGGGGGAAGCGAGCGCCGCGACGAATGTGGGGCCGACGCCGGACGTGTAGTTGTAGACGTGGGCCGCGCCGACGCCGCCGCCGGCGTCGGGCGCGCCGACGACGATCGTCGACCCGTCCGTCGCGACGGCGGCGCCGAAGCCGTCGTCGGCGCCGTCGTTCGCGATCGAGGTCTCGTTCCATTCGCCGAACGTCGCCGCCGCCGGCGCGGTCATCTCGTAGCACACGAGTTCGCGGCCGCCCGTCGTCGCCAGGAGGTAGCTCCGGCCCTGGAGGCCGAAGGTCGCCGCCGCGACGGCGGCGCCGAAGCCCGCCGCGGCCGACTCGAAGCGCGAAACCTCGGCGAAGCCGTCGACGGCGAGCGCGACGGCCGGGCCGCCGTCCTCGGACACGAAGACGAGGTCCCCGGCGACGGCGACGGCGGCGGGCCCGGCCGTGGTCCGCGCGTGGACCCAGGTCCAACTGGTGTACGTCGCGTCGCCGCGGTAGACGTGCGCGCCGCCCGTTCCCGCGACGGCCGCGACGTCGTTGGACGACCCGCCGACGGCGACCGCGCGCCCGAGCGCGTCGCCGTCCGCGCCCGTCGCGTCGTCCGCGAGGATGACGCCGCCGCTCGTGAGCTGGACGCGCGCGAAGTCCGCGAAGCCCGGGCCGGTCGACGTGATCTTGCCCGCGAGGTACTCGTACTGCGTCCCGCCGGCGACCTGTGTGCAAATCAAATCCTCAACCCGACTTCAATGTGCGCGTATTCGAAAGGGTTGACACAAGCTTTTCGACTCCGCTTCGAGAACTGGACGAGAGCAATCGATTCGTCCAAAAATCAGCCGAATCGACTTCGACTTGACCGAGCTAGAGATTTCTGAAGTTTGGCCCCGACGTCCCAGCTCACGGGTTGATTTCCACGCAGCCCGCGACGACGGCCTTGACGTTCTCCGGCGACACGGCCACGGACGCCCCGAAGAAGTCGAGGTGCTCCGGCTCCTCGACCTTGAGCGAGTCCGTGCGCGCCCACGTGCGGCCCTCGTCCGTGGACTGGAAGACGAAGACGGCGCCCGCCTCGTCGCGGCCCTGCGAGTTCCGCATCGCGCCCGCGGCCAGCAGCGACCCCGCGGCGTCGACGGCGACCCGCGACCCGAAGAGGGCATCCTCGCTGCCGATGTTCTCGATGGTCTGCGAGAGCGTCCACGCGCCCATGGGGTCGCCCTCGTCCTCGCGGCGGAAGACGTAGATCGCGTCGTCGCGGCCGCCGACGACGACGACGTGCTCCGCGACCGCGACGGACAGGCCGAAGCGCTCGAAGGCCCGGAACTTGCGCGCCGTGAGCGTCGACGTGTGCGTCCAGGTCGCGCCCGCGTCGACGCTCGCGAAGACGTAGGCGTAGCCGACGGCCATGTCGTCGCCGACGTCGCGCGACGGCGCGCCGACGGCCGCGAAGATCGCCGAGCCGCCGCGGCTGAAGCCAAAGGCCTCGCCGAAGCGGTCCGCGGACCCGGCCGGCGACTCGATCGTCGAGATGTGCGCGTAGTCTTGCGACCGCGAGTACACGTAGACGGCGCCGTAGTTGTCGACGTTCCACGCGCCGACGCCGCAGAGGTCGCCCGCGAGGGCGACGGCCTGGCCGTGCGCGTCGTCGCGGTCCGTCTCCGCCGCGTAGAGCGCGTGCGACAAGGTCCAGGCGCCCCGGCCCCCGCGGTAGACGTAGGCGGGCCCGCTCGGCGACGTCTCGACGTTCCGCGCGACGTCGTCGTCCTCGACGTCCGCGGCGCCCGTGTCCTCGTTGCCGCAGGTCCCGACGACGAGGTCCGCGTCGCCGGACCCGTCGACCGCCGGCGCCAGGGCCACGGCGCAGCCGAAGAAGGACTCGTCGAAGCCCGGCCAGGGCCGGTCCCCGAGGCCGGCCTCGGCCCAGGGGCTCCCGTCCATGACGCGCTCCTGCGCCCACGTGAGGCCGCCGTCGCTCGAGTTGTGGACGTACGCGTAGCCCCAGGCGCCCGCCGCGACGAGGCGCGCGTCGATCAGCGCCACGGTCTCGCCGAAGCGGTCGCCCCAGGAGCTCCGGCGCTTGGTCTCGCGGATGTCGAAGGGCCGGAGCGGCGCCGTCGGCGCGTTCGTCGACGGCTGCAGCGTCGACGGCCGCGCCGTCGGCCGCGGCGTCGTCGGATTGGCGCTCGGCGCGATGGTCGCCGTCGGCGACGGCGTGAAGAGCACGACGAAGGACGCGCTCGCGCTCGCCACGGAGTTGTCGGCGCAGGCCAACGACAGCGAGTACGCGTACTGGTCCGTCTCGCCCTCGACCTGGAGCGTCACGGCGCCGCCGGACCGCGCGGACTGCTTCACGGCGACGATGTCGCCCGCGTCGGACGTCACGGTGACGTCCACCGTGGGGCACAGGTCGCCGTCGCCGCGGTAGAGCCACCTGTGTGGAATTCAACCACTGGTTTGGGGGGTCCCCACCAAACTTCAGAACTCTCTATCTCGGTCAAATCGAAGTCGATTCGGCTGATTTTTGGACGAATCGATTGCTCTCGTCGAGTTCTCGAAGCATAGCCGAAGAGCTTGCGTCGAAACTGTCACATATGCTCACATTGAAGTCGGGTCGAAGATTTGAATTCCACACAGAGAGCCACGACACGAGGCAGTCGGCGTTGTTGACGCAGACGCCTCCGTCGCCGACGGCGCTCACCTCGAGGAAGGAGGCCGTGGGCCTGATCGACAGCGTCGGCGGCAGCGTCGCGACGGGCGGCGCCGACGGCAGCGGCGACGGCGCGGGCGTCGGCGCGGCGGACGGCGCCGCGGGCGCGCCGGCGGCGGCGCCGGCGCTCGGGGCGGGCGTCGGCGCCGCGCTCGGGAACGGCGACGCGTTCGGCGCGGGCGTCTCGTAGGTCGGCGACACCGTCGTCGGCGCGAAGCTCGTCGTCGGGCTCCGCGTCGGCGCGAAGCTCCGGGTCGGCACGGGCGTCGCGTACCTACGATGCACGGTGTTTTTTGCTGGGGTTCGTTCCATGGGACGCGGCGCTGCGGACGTCGGCGCATCCGTGGTCGCCGCCGCCGCCGCCGCGACGAGCAGGTAGAGCACCACCATCGCTGCAACGCAGCAGCCGCTCAGCTCATGGAAAAGTCGAACTCGGCCGACATCGGGCAGCGCTGAAAGGTCGGGTCGTATGGTGAATGGAAACCGTCCAAGTAGAGGTGGATGCTGTCCTTGCGCCGAGCCGAGCCGGCGCCGCCATGCGAGCCAGAGTCCGAGTCGCGGACCTGTTGTCGAGTGGCGCGCGCCGCGGCGACATCAGACGCCCCCCTGTCCTTGCTCCCGCAAAAGTCTCGAGCGGCGGTGTGAGTCCGAGCGTCGCGGAGCCCTGTCTAGTTGCGCGCGCGCCGCGGCGACTTCGACCGCCCCCCCCAAATGGCGGCCGTCGACGAGCAGACGCTCCTCCACGACGTGGAACAGCGCTTCCTGCGCCTGAGTCAGAAGCTCGAGGCCTGCGAGAAGGAGCGCGACGATCTGCGCGCGTCCCAGGGCAAGTCGGACGAGCAGATCTCGGCCCTCACGCTCAGCCAGAGCGCGGCCCTCCGGGGCGAGGCCGACGCGTCGGAGAAGCGGTCCGCCGCCGAGCGCGAGGCGAGCCGCCTCGACGCGGCCTACAAGGCCGCGCTGGAGCGCGCGGAGCGCGCGGAGCTCTCCGCGTCGGCGGCGGCCACGGGCCGCGCGGCCGCGGAGGCGGAGCTCGCGGGCGCGCGGTCCGAGGCGCGCGCCTTCGAGCGGCGCGCGGCGTCCGCCGAGGCCGCCCAGACCGGCGCGGCCCTCGCGTCGGAGCGCGCCGCGTCCGAGCGCCGGGCCTTGGAGGACCACGCGGCCTGGCTCCAGTCGGAGCTCGACGCGCGGACCAAGGAGCTCCGGGACCGGCGGCGGTCCGGCGCGAGCCAGCTCAGCGAGGCCGAGGGCGCCCGCGCGTCCGCCGGCGCCGAGGCGGCGAAGCTCCGGGCCCAGGCCGAGGCGCTCAAGGCCGCCGAGACCCGGAGCGCGGCCGCCGCGGACGCCGCGGAGCGGAAGCTCCGCGACGCGACGAAGGCGCACGCCGAGGCCGTCGCGCGCTACGAGGGCGACCTCGCCGCCGAGAAGCGCCTCGCCGTCGCCCTCGTGGACGAGGCGGACGCGGCGGCGCGCGACCGCGACGCCTTCGAGGAGACCGCGAAGAAGGCCGAGGCGTCCGAGGCGGCGCTGCGCGCGAACTTGGACGCCGAGGTCGCGCGCCTCAAGGCGCGGAGCGACGAGGTGCTCGCCGAGGCCCGGGCGTCGGCCGACGCGCGGTTGAAGGAGACGGAGGCGGAGCTGGCGACGCAGACGGAGCGCGCGGATCTGCTCGAGGCCCGGGCCGGCGGCGCGGCGTCCGCGCCGCCGGCCGACGCGGGCCCCGCGGCCATGTACGAGCGCGCCGTCGACGCCGAGCGCGCCGCGGAGCGCGCGCGCGCCGAGCTCAAGCGCAACGAGCTCTACCTCGAGCGCGTCGCGCGCGAGGTGGAAAAGAAGGCCGAGGTCTTCGACCGCGAGGTCGCGGCGCGCAAGTCCGCCGTCGCGGCCTACGACGCGCTCGCGATCAAGCACCACGGCGCGCTCCAGGAATTGGAGCAGTCGAAGACGGACGCGGCGGCGGCGCTCAAGCGCGCGCGCGAGGAAAAGCACGAGCGGTCGGACCTCGAGCGGTCGAAGCGCGACCTGGCGCTCCAGGTGCAGGAGCTGCTGCGCGTGCGCACGGGCAAGTCGCCGTCGGGTTTGGTGGAGGCGCGGCTGAAGAAGAACTCGGCGGAGGAGCAGGCGCTCGGCGAGCAGCTGGTCGTCTTCGACGACGTCGCGGGGCTGCAGCAGCGCAACGAGCAGCTGCTGCGCGTCGTGCGCAAGCTCGCGGCCGAGGCCGAGGCGAAGAAGCTCGAGGAGGCCGAGGGCGAGACGTCGGGCGCGCTCGAGCAGGCCCTGAAGGATCTGGAGGACCTCAAGTCGAAGCGCGAACAGCAGGAGACGATGGTCCGCGCCGTCGTCGCGCAGCGCGACTCCTACCGGGACCAGCTCCGGGCCCGCGGCGAGGTCGCGGCCATCGTCGCCGCGCCCGCGGCGGCCGCGTTGACCGCGGACCCGGCGGCGGCCGCGCTCCGGAGGGCCGAGGTCGAGGCGGATCTCGAGGCGGCGGCGCGCGAGCGGGACCTCGCGAAGCAGGCCACGGCCTTCGCGCGCGACGCGGAGCTCGCGGCGAAGCGCGAGCTCGCGGAGGCGCGCGCCGCCGAGGGCCGGCTCCGCGGCGACTTGGAGTACGAGCGGTCGCGGACGCAGCGATTGGAGTCGTCGGCGGAGGCGAGCCGCCTCGGCGAGCAGGCGGCTCTAGCCGAGGCCGCGGGGCTCCACCGCCAGCTCGACCGCCGGACCGACGACCACGAGAAGCTCGTCGAGGACAAGGCCGCGTGGATGGACGAGAAAGCCGACCTCGCTCGCGCGAAAAAAGCCGCCGACGACGCGCTCGACGGCGCCCGGGCCGCGAAGCAGGACGCCGAGGCCAAGGGCGAGGCCCTCAGCCGCGAGAACGACAAGCTCGTGGCGGCCCTCGACGGCGTGCGCAAGTTGGAGAACGCGCTCGACGCGAAATCCGAGGCCGAGGTCACGTCGCTGCGGAGCCGCCTCGAGGCCGCGGAAAACCAGCGCGGCGCCGCGGCCCAGGAGCTCGCGCTGAGCCAGGAGACGCACCGCGTCAAGTTCAAGGCTTTGGAGGCCGACGCCGCGGCCGCGCGCGACGAGGCCAAGGCCGCCGAGGCGCGGTGCGCGGACGCGCGCGAGGCCGCGACGAAGGCGCAGGCCGAGAAGGACGGCGCCGAGCGCCGCCTGGCCGACGCGTTGCGCTCGGTGCCGCCGTCGTCGGCGCCGGCGTCGAGCCCCTTTGTCGAGGCGCGCGCGGCGCCGGCCGCCGCCGACGCGGACGTCGCTTTAACGGCCGTGCTCCGCGCGGACGCGGACGCGTTGCGCGCCGAGCTCGAGACGGCGTCGGCGGCGCGCGACGCGGAGCGGGGCCACGCGGACACGTTCCGGCGCATCGCCGCGGCCCACGAGGCCGCCCTCGCCGAGGCCACGGCCGCCGCGGACGCGACGAAGGCCGACTTCGCGGCCGCGAAGCAGGACCTCGAGGCCAAGCTCGCGGCCGCGTCCAAGAAGGAGAAGGACGCGCGGGCCGCCGAGGTCGCGGCGCAGCTCAAGGCCGACGGCCTCCAGCACGACCTCGACGCCGCGCGCGGCGACGCGGCGCAGTCCCAGGCGGAGCGCGACGGCGCGGCCGCCGCGCGCGACGACGCCGTCGCCGCGCGCGACGCGGCCGCGGCCGACGCGGACCGCGCGGCCCAGTCCGCGGCGACGGCCCGCGACGCCTACGAGCGCGAGCTCGGCCTCCACGCGGCCCACGTCGCCGCGCTCAACGCGGCGACCGCCGCGTGCAAGGCCGCCGTCGCCGAGCGCGACGCGCTCAAGAAGGCCGCGCCCGCCGCGACCCCGGAAGCGCCCGCGCCGGCGCCCGCCGCCGTCGACGACGAGGCGGCGAAGCGCCTGGCGGCCCTCGAGCGGCAGAACGAGCTGCTCCACGCGCAGATCGCCGTCGCGTCGTCGACCGTCGAGCGGTTGCAGCGGCGCCGCGGCGACGACGCGCTCGCGGGCGGCGGCGACGCCGCCGCGGGCGCCGAGTCCGACGCCGAGGCGCGCCTGCGCGAGCTGCGCGAGGTCGTCCTCTTCGTGCGCCGCGAGAAGGAGCTGGCCGAGGCGAAGCTCGCGGTGTCGGAGCGGACGCGAGGCCGCGCCGAGGCGCGCGCGCAGACCTCCGACGACGCCCTGGCGACCGTGCGCGTCGAGCGCGACGCCCTGCTCGAGCAGCGCGACGCCGGGCCCGGCGGTCTGGGCGAGCACGCGCAGAACGCGGAGCGCGCGCGCGCGGAGCAGGCGAGTTTGCTCCGGGAATCGAACGCGTCCCTTCGCGCGGACGCCGCGAAGCACAAGGCCGCCGCCGAGGCCCTCCGGGCCCAGCTCGACAAGGTCCACGCGTCCCACGTCGAGCCCAAGCACAAGCTCGTCGCCCAGCTCAAGGCCCAGGTCGCGACGAAGGAGCAGGAGCGCGCGTCGCACGAGCGCGACGCCAGCGCCTGGCGGAAGCGCGTCGACGCGCTGCTCTCCAAGGTCACGGAGAAGATCGACGCCGACGAGTACCGCGCCGTCGAGGAGAAGCTCCGCAAGGCCGAGGACCGGCTCGCCGACGCTACCGAGGCCGCGGCGGCCGCGAAGCGCGAGCTCGCGGCCGCGACGACCAAGATCGAGTCGCTGGACGCGGCGCACGCGCGCGACGCCGCGGCGGCGGCCCAGCGCTACCTGCGGTCCCTGCGCGCCGACGGCCTGCACCGCCGGTCCCTGACGGACGCGGCGGCGGCGGCGGAGAAGGTCAAGGCGCGCGCGGACGCCGCCGACGCGTCGAACGTCGCTCTCAAAGACGAGCTCGTCCGCGCGGAGGCCAAGGTGCGCAAGGCCGCGGGCATGATGCGCCAGTACAAGGCCCAGAACGCGGCGCTCCAGGTCAAGGTCGACGCCGTGCCCGCGGCGCCGCCGGCCGCGGCGGTCGCGGTCCCGGCCGCGCCCGCGGCGCCGGCCGCGGCGCCCGCGCCCGCGGCGCCCGCGGCCGCGGCGCCCGCGCCCGCCCCCGCGCCCGCGCCGGCGCCGGTGAAGCGCGCGCGCGCGGCGACGGACGCCGCCGCGGCGCCCGCCGCCGCCGAGGCCCCCGGCGCCGCCCGCGAAGAAGCCCAAGCAGCCGACGGCCGTCGCGAAGAAACGCGCCTTACCCGTCGCGGCCGCGCCCGCGGCCGCCGCCGCGGCGCCGGCGCCCGCGACGGCGTCGGCGCGCAAGAAAGCGAAGCGCGCCGCGCCCGCGCCGGCCCCGGCCGCGCCCGCCGCCGAGCCCGCGGACGCCGCCAAGCCCGCGGCCGCGGCCAAGCCCGCGGCCAAGCCCGCCGCGGCCGCCAAGCCCGCGGCCACCAAGGCGTCGCCCGCGGCCAAGGCCGCGGCCAAGCCCGGCGCCGCCAAGGCGTCGCCCGCCGCCGCCAAGAAGCAAAAGGCCACGGAGGCCGCCGCGCTGCGCGCGAAGCTCCTCGCGTTGCAAAAGTCGAACGCCGAAGCGAAGAAGACCATCGAGGAAAAGAAGGCGGAGCCCGCGGACGACGGCGCCGCGTCGCCGCCGCCGCCGGCGGTGCTGAGCCCCCTCGCGCCGACCTTCGTGCCCGTGCTCAGCCCCGTCTTCCCGCCCGCGGCGCCGCCGGCCGAGGACGCGCGGCCCAAGGCCGTCAGCGACGTCGACCGGCGCAAGGCGCGCGCGGCGCGCTTCGCCGGCGGCGCCGCGCCGGCGCCCGCGCCCCCGGACGACGACGACGAGGACCTCTAGGGAGAGGCGCACCGACGACTAAGTTCCTACTTCGCGCGTCGTCGTCGTCGCCACGTCGCAGTCGAGCACGAGGGGCGGCGCCTCCCGCTCGGGCGCGAGGTCCGGGCACCGCGGCGCCATCCACCACTTCTCCTTCGCGGCCGCGCCCCGGACGCCGAGCAGGTCCGCGCCGAGCTTGGCGTGGTGCGCCTTCGTGATGCCGTGGCCGTTGCGCTTGCCCTTGAGGCGGCTCGTGCGGCTGAGGTGGTTGAGGACCGCGTAGCGCGCGCCGTCGATGGCCGCGGGCGTCGGCTTCGAGAGCGTCTCCGGCGGTAGTGGAGCAAACATGCAGGCGCCGGACTCGATGATCTCCCGCAGCAGGGGCTGGTCGCGCACGGACGACCGCTTGATCCGCGCGCCCTCGCGGTTCGCCGCGGCCGCGCGCCGCAGCTCGTCGAGCACCCTGGCCGCCCAGGCCGCGAGGCAGGGCTCCGACTTGCCGCGCGCCACGGCGAAGATGCCGCCGTGGTAGGGCTCCGCCGCGAGGCGGCCCGGGTCGCGGACGTCGGCCGTGACCTGGGCAGCACAAGGGTGATTCAAGTTCGCTTCAACGTGAGTGTTCCGCGCGCGCGCGTTCCGGAAAAAGCATCCACGCTTCGAGACCGTTCCGAGAGATGATCGCTCGTCCAAAAATGAGCCGAAACGAGTGGAAAATGGCCGAGATATGAGCCTTTGAAGTTGGGAATTTCGCTCTCTTGTCCTGCCCCGGCCGTGACCTCGGCCTCCTCGTAGGCGAGCAGCGTCGCGGGCGACGCCGCCAGCGCCGCGACGGCCGTCGCCAGGAGCGGCGCCAGGGGCGCGCCGACGATGACGTCCGCGTCCATGTAGAGCACGACGCGCTCGGGCCCGGCCGCCGCGACGTCGAGCACGCGCATCTTGAGCTGCTTGTACAATATGGAGCCCGCGCGCGCGTCGCAGCGGTCCTCGAGGCGCACGGGCACGACGACGACGCCCCGCGGCGCGCAGCGCGGCTTGTCCGTGAACGCGTAGACCGTGCCGGCAAAGGCGCCGCGCTCACGGATGGAGCGCACGCACATGCCGAAGAGCGACTCCTCGGCGAGTTCGCCCATGGCGATGACGGCGATGGCCGCGTCGTCGCTGGCGCGCGCGATGCATGCGAGCGCGAGGAGCTTCAGCAGCGACGGCATCGCCGCTGCAAGGGGTGTTTATGGAGCTAGAGCATCACAAAAAGGGCAGCACCATGGCCGAGGTTTTCAAAAGGAGCTTTGGTGAAGTTTTGGTGATCCTTGGGCTGCCGATCATGATGGCCATGCGCTTGGTCTTGTCCCTCGTCGCCGTCGTCGGCGGCGCGGGGAGCCGGGGGTCGAGCGGCTGCGAGGCCTGCGTCGGCCTGAGCGCCCGCGGGTGCCTCGACGCCCTCGGGGCGTCCCTGGCGGCCCTCGGCGACGGCAGCCGCGTGATGGTGCTCGAGACGGTCCTCGCGGGCAGCGACCGCTGCGACGGCGCGGACCTCGCGACGTGCGCGGCCCGCTACGACGAGCTCGTGGCGTCGCTGGCCCGGCCGGCGCGCCTGCGGCGCCTGCGGGCGGCCTGCGGCGGCGGCCGCGCGGCCGCGGCCGCGGCCGGCGCGGCCGCGCCGGACGCGTTCGGCGCCGGCGGCGACGGCGCCGCGGCCGCCGGGCCGCCCTGGGGCGTCGCGAGCCTCGGCGGCTGGTCCCTCGGTTCCGCGGGGCGCGAGACGGCGACCTGCGCCGCCTGCGACGGCGCGGCGACGCGCGACGGCTGCGTGCGGGCCGCCTTGGCCGCGCATTTCGACGACGCCGCGGGCCTCGCGGCCGTCGTCGACGCGCGCGTCCTGGGGCAGCCCGACGACTCCGACGACGACGCCGCGCGCGCGGCGCTCCTCGCGGCGCTCTGGGACGGCGGCGTCGACGGCGCCGCGCGCTACGCCGCGGTCGTCTCGGCGTGCGCGGCCGTCGAAGCCCGCGGCCGCGACGCCTTCCTCGGCGACGGCCGGGGCGCCGCCTACGCCGAGGAGCGGCGCACGGGCTCCTGCGGCGCCTGCGGCGACGGCGACGACGCCGCGTGCGCCGCGCGGCTCCGGGAGGCGCTCCGCGCGGCGGACGACGACGACCGCCTCGCGGTCTACGAGGTCGCCTTCGCCGGCGGCGACGACTGGTGCGCCGGCGGCAACGACGCGGCGACCTGCGCCGACCGGCGTCCTTCGAGGCATGTGCGGGACCAGGAAATCGTCGCGGTCCGTAGGCGCCGACAGGCTCGAGGGCGTCCTCTTCGACGGCCTCGACGACGGCGCGCGCGCGGACGCGCTCGAGCGCGCGTGCGCGGCGGCGCGCCGCGCGTCGGGCGCGTCGTGGGCCGCGCCGCTCCTCGGGCGCAAGGCCGACGACGACGAGGTCAACGACCTCACGACGACCACCACCACCACGGCGAAGACGAAGAAGCGGGGCTACGTCGACGGCTACGGCGCCGCGCGGACGGCGGGCGCGGCCGCCGTCGCCGCGGGCCACGCGTCGCGGAGCCGCGGCGGCTCCGTGAACCGCCGCTACAAGCGCAAGCGCACGTCGCTGACGTTCGCGAAGACCTGTGTGGAAATCAACCACTGGTTTGGGGGGTCCTGACCAAACTTCAGAACTCTCTAGCTCGATCAAATCGAAGTCGATTTGGCTGACTTCTGGACGAATCGATTGCTCTCGTCGAGTTCTCGAAGCACGGCCGAAGGACTTGCGTCGAAACGGATGCATACGCGCACATTGAAGTCGGGTTGAAGATTTGATTTCCACGCAGGCGAAGACGGTGTTGCCCCTCGCGGGGCTCTTCGCGGCCTTTTACGTCGCGCGCGCGGCCGCGCGCCGGCTCCGGGGCCGGCGCCAGGGCTACGCGCGCGTGCCCAAGTCCGACGACCTACCCGACGCCGGGGGCCAGGTCTGGGCCATCCCGACGTCGGGCCTCGTGCGCCGGCCGTCCGCGGAGCTCCTCCAGCAGACCGCCGACGCCATGCGCGACGAGGAGCGGTTCCAGATCTGAGGCTCCGTAAGGTGGCGTATTGAAGGCGGGCCCGACTCGACGCAGGCGTGCGAGAGCTCGTGCGAGCGTCGCGACGCCGCGCGCGCCGCGGCACCAATGAGATTTCTGCCGCGCGGGCAGAACGGTCAACGCGCCGTCGGCCGATCGGAGCACGGAGGTCAGTCTCTCGAACAATATTCCTCCGGGCCTCAAGCGGGTCCACGCGCCATGAGCTTTAAGTTCGACCACCCGCTGGTGCGTGCCACGCCTCTCGCGCGCGATTTCCGCGGGCCCCGGCGGGACCGGGCGGCGGGATCCGCGCGTTTTCGGAAGGCCCCGCGGCCGCTTGCGTCCGCGCCAGAAACCGGCGCGGGCGCGGCGCGGCCGCGGCGGCGCTCCGGCCGCCCCGGGCGCCGCGCGCCGCCCGCCGACGCCGCGCCGCGCCGCGCGGGACCGACGCCGCCTCCGCGCGCAGGACCGGCGCAAGAGCGAGGCCGAGCGGATCCGCGCAAAGTACCCGGACAGGATACCGGTCATCTGCGAGAAGGCGGACAGAAGCGACATCCCGGACATCGCCAAGAAGAAGCGCGCCCCGGCGCCGGGCGCCTCCCGGGAGCGCGCGCGCGCGGGCCGCGCTCGACGCGTTTTTCGAACGCCGCAGGTACCTCGTGCCCGCGGACCTGACCGTGGGCCAGTTCATCTACGTCATCCGCAAGCGCATCAAGCTCCCGCCGGAGCGCGCCATCTTCATCTTCGTCGACAACGTCATCCCGCCGACGGCCGCGCTCATGTCCACGGTCTACGAGGTCCAGAAGGACGAGGACGGCTTCCTCTACATCACCTACTCGGGCGAGAACACGTTCGGCGACCTCCTCGAGGAGCTCCCCGAGGCCGACCTGTAGTCGCCCGCACGCGCGGCCGGCGCGCGCCCGCGCCCGCCGCGCCCCGGCGCCGCCCCTGTCCATACCGGCGCTCGCGCCGCGCCTCGAGCCAGCCCCCCTGTTAAACCGCTCGGATCTCCCTCGCCGGCTGCCGCCGCCACCCGCCTGCGAGTCCCGAAGCCCCCGGCGACGGCGCCGCGGGTTCCTCGGGAGCGCCTCGAGAGCGCCCGCGGCGAAGCGCGGGCGCGCCGAATTCGAACCGGAGCCGGGTGCCGCCGCCGCGACGACGACAAGACAACGATTACCCGGCGGCCTGAAGCCTGCGGGACTGGGTCGGGCGACGTCGCGCGGGGGCTACGCGCTCGAGCGCACCTGGCGCTGGAGCGACGCCGGGCTGCCCTCGGGGCTGCCGAGGTCGGAGACGCGGTAGCAGGGCACGGGCGACCGCGCGAGGGACCAGTCGAGCTCGCGGCTCGGCGTCCCGTGGATGCTCACGTAGAAGCGCGGCGCGCCCGCGGCGTCGACGAGGGGCCCCATGACGAACTTGTTGACGAACTTGGACCCGTCGCGGTGGTAGTTGACGATGGACGCGTAGCAGACGTGGCCCGCGTTGATTGACGACGCCATCTCCGCGATGCTGCGGTAGTCCGTGTCCGGCCCTTGCAGGAAGCGGCAGTTTGGGCGGCCGAGGACGTGCTCCGGCCGGTAGCCGCAGACGTTGAGCCAGGCTTGGCTGCAGGCGACGATGCTCGCGTCGGCGTGCGTCGCGTCGCAGACGAGGTACTGCGCGTCGGGCGCCGCCGCGTCGAGGAAGTCGAGGAAGACGGCGTTGACGCCGGCGCTCAGCTCGACCTCGCGCTTCACCTCGTCGAGCGGCGCGCCGTGGTGGGTCCAGGCGCTCTGCGGCATCGTTTCGTTCTGGATTTTGTGGGTGTGTGAGCAATCGATTTGCAAGTGACGAGCCTCGCGTGCGGCTTTTGCGGGTGCGTGCAATCGATTTGCAAGTGACGAGCCTCGCGTGCGGCTTTTGCGGGCGCGTGCAATCGATTTGCAAGTGACGAGCCTTGCGCGAGTTTTTGGCGGCGCGGCTGCGCGAAAAGTTGGTTTTTGTGGTGCGCGCGTGTCGCAGTGGTTGCTACGATGGCTTGAGCCCTCGCTGCGGGTGGTGTGGGCTGCGGACCTCGGTGCCGGCGGATAGGTCGGGCCAGCGGAGCGGGTTTTTGCGGGTGACTACGCACTTGTTGAACGGGCTGGAAGGCTCCGAACCGACTCAGCTCCGCCGGCTCGAGACAGGGCTCGAGATCGCTCGAGGACTCGCTCGACTCCCAATCACTTAGCTCGCCGCCCCTCGCGCTGGACGTTGCGGAGGAGGAAGGGGAGACACAGGTCCGGGTCGACGCGCGTCGCCGCGGCCTCGCCGGGGAAGCCGTCGGCCGCCGCCGCGGGCACGTCGAGGACCGCGAACGTCGACTTCGCGGACCCGCCGAGGGTCTCGTAGGACGCGTCGCTCGCCTTGCGGTCCAGGTCCGCGCTCAGCGCCTCGAAGGCGACGCGGCAGGCGTTGATGTCCGGGACGTCGTCGGAGACGCGGACGTCCGGGTGCGCGTCCTTGCAGCGTTTCCGGTACGCGGCCTTGAGCGCGACGGCGTCGTAGTCGCCGTCCAGCAGCAACGTTTTCGCGTGGCCGACATTATCCGCGCCGCGCTGCGCCGCGTCGCCCTGGACGACGTCGAGCACGCGCTTCTCCCAGTCGCCGAGCGGCTCGGTCGACACGTCGAAGTCGCCGAAGGTGAGTTTCGCGGCGCGGCCGCCGGCGACGTCGCGCGCGGCCTCGACGATCTCGCGCCGGTGCAGCGCGACGGCCCAGGGCACGACGACGTCCGCGGGCTGGTCGCTGACGACGCCGACGACGGCGACGGGCGCCCAGTCCGAGAACTGCGCCGCCTTTGGCGAACGCACGGCGACGACGAAATCGCGGAGGAAGAGGTCGTCGTCCGCGTCGTCGTCGCCGTCGTACTTCTTCTCCAGCTCGGCGTAGCGGTCCTCGGACGCCTCGAGCAGCTTCTCGCCCGATATGCGCTTGCCCTTGCGTTCCAGCTTCGGCGCGGCGCCGAACCCGCCGCCCTTGGTCTGCTTGGCGGCCTTCTTTTTGGGGCTGTTTTTCACGGCAAAAGCGTTGGCGGTTGTTACGACGAGGGCGAAGCGCAGCAGCTGCATGGCGCCGGCGCGTCGTCGGCTGCACACGAGCGTCGAGTGCGGGCGCCGGTGCGTCGTCGGCTACACACGAGCGTCGAGCGCGGCGCAATTCGTCGATGAGGCGGGACGGCAAGTGCGTCGTTGGCTGCACACGGGCGTCGAGCGCGGCGCAATTCGTCGATGAGGCGGGACGGGACGCAAGTGCGGCGTGGCAAACGTCAACGCTTGCGGCGAAAACGCCAACTTCAGCGAGCACCAACACCGCCGCCGCGCGCGTTCATTGGCGGACAGACGACGTCGTCTGTCGTGTATTGTCATGCCCAGCGCGAGCATGGCTGAGCTCTATGCATGGCTGCCATCCCTGTCGCAGATCAAGAGCGACCTCACCTTCGCGCGGCGCGGCGTCCAAGAGCGCCAGAGGTCTTGTGGCAACAGAAACAGCGCCGCCATGCGGCCGCGCCGTCGCCGGCGCGGCGCGGGCCGCTGTCGCCGCCCTCGCCGCCGCCGGCCCTCGAGAGGCCGCGCGCGCCATCGCTGCGACCGACTGCGAGAGCTCGCGGCGAGCGCGCACGACCCGCAACATCTTAGGTGCCGGCGGCGGACTTCGATTACGTCGGCGCGCTGCGGCCGTGGAAGGACATGACGCTCCACTACTACGACATGGACTGCATCGAGGTCTTCAACGGCTACACGTGGTCGCGGACGACGGCGCTGCACTGGGAGTACCCGCTCGCCGCGGTCGCGCTCTACGTCGCGCTGATCCCGGTCCTCAAGGCGTCGATCGCCGAGCCCGTCAAGATCCCGCGGTTCGCCCTCTGCTGGAACCTGGGGCTGAGCCTGTTTTCCCTCTGCGGCCTCGTCGCCTGCGCGCCGGTGCTCCTCAACGAGCTCCGGGCCAACGGCTTCTACTTCACGACGTGCGCGCCCGCGCCGTGGTACGGCGGCGGCTACCACGGCATGTTCGTGGCGCTCTTCATCTATTCCAAGTTCGTCGAGCTCGTGGACACGGCGATCATCCTGTTGGGGAAGCGGCAGGTCATCCTCCTGCACTGGTGGCACCACGTCACGGTGCTGCTCTACTGCTGGCACTCGTACGCGACGCAAATCGCCACGGGCCTCTGGTTCGCGACGATGAACTACTGCGTGCACAGCATCATGTACGCCTACTTCGCGTGCATGGGCGTGCCGAACCTGCGGCCGAAGGTGAAGAAGTTCGCGATCTACATCACGCTCTTGCAGCTCGCGCAGATGGTCGTCGGCATCTTCGTCACGGTCCGCGCGGTGCTCTACCAGGCCGGCGGCCTCGACTGCCGCGTGAACAAGACCAACTCCGTCCTCGGCCTCGCCATGTACTCGTCCTACTTCCTCCTCTTCGGCAAGCTCTTCTTCGAGAACTACGTCCTCAAGAGATCAAAGGCCAAGGCGGCCTAGGCTTGCGGGGGTTCGTCTAGTTAAGCTAGGTTTTGTTTACGAGGGCCTTCAAGAGGCCGCTGAGCGCGTCGACGTCGCCCTTGGACGCGCGCGAGCTCCGGAGCACGCGCCGCGCGGCCGCGACGCGCGGGTCCGCGGGCACGCGGCCCCGCGACGTCGCCCGGAAGCCGTCGTCGGCGCCGAGCGCGGCCGCGAGGCGCCCCACGAGCGCGTCGACGTGGCGGTCGTCCGCGGGCGGCTCCGCCGCCGGCTCGCCGCCGCCGGCCGCGGCGTACAAATTCGCCAGCGCGATGGACACGGCGTGCGACAGGTTCAGGCTGTCGTCCGACGCGATCTCCACGGAGCCGCCGCAGGCCGCGAGCTCCTCGGTGGTCAGGCCGTCGGCCTCGCGGCCGAAGACGAGCGCGACGCGGCGAGTTCCCGCCGCGAGGGCCGGCAGCGCGTCCGGAAGCGCCGCGTGGCGGCGCGACGCGCCCGAGCGCCGCGAGAAGGCGACGGACGTGTCGGCGTGTCGCAGCGCGTCGCCCAAGTCCGCGTGCTCCGTCGACCGCTCGTTCAACACGACGCGGCCCTGGGGCATCGCGTAGCGCCGCTCGTAGGTCGCCTCGGCGGCCCGGTCGTATTCCGGAGCGACGACGCGGAGGTGGCCCACGCCGAAGCACGCCGCCAGGCGGCAGACCTGGCCGACGTTCGACGCGTACTGGGGGCCCACGAGCACGACGTCGACGTGGCCCAGGCGCAGCGCGTCCGCCGTCGCGGCGACGGCGACGAGCGCGGCGACGGCGCGCATCGCGGCGTTGGCGCGACTCGCGGCGGCGCGCATCGCGGCGGTTAGCTTTTTTTGCGTCACGCCGTCGCGTCGGAGATGGTCGGCTGCTGCAGGACGTGCACTGCCTGCGTCTGGGCCCGGGTGCGGCAGCTGCCGCAGCTCAGACGCTCTCACACCCTCCACTTCAACACGACGGCTCCGTGGGGGCAACTTGCGCGAAATTCCAGAGGCGGGCCAGCGGACTCATCCCCCGGCGACGCGCACGCCAACAAGCCACACGCTTCACATTTTAACGCACGTCATCGGTCCGCGAGGGACGCGTCCCGGCCGTGCTCGCCGAGCGCGCCCGCGCGCATGATCTCCGGCTGCGGCGCCGGCGGCAGGAACCCCACCATCGGCTTGTCCGGCGTCCACCTGCGCGCGGACGGGCGTCGGGGCGCGTTTTGGCAGGACGGACGCGGCGCGACGCGCTCGGGCGGCGCGCCCCCCGTGCCGCGGAGCCGGTGCGCGAAGCGCAGCACGTCGTCGGTGGACATGCCGTTGGCGAAGGGCGTGCGGCAGGAGTGGATCAGCTCCTGGGCCTCGTCGAGCATGTTGCCCATCTCGAGCTCGAGGTCCTGGAGCTTCTTGATCTTCTTGGGCATCGGCGGCCGCGGGCCGGGATCCATGCGAGCCTCGTCGATGTCGGCCATCGTCGCGCGCGCGTTCGTCGTCTGGCGGATGTTGTAGTCGGCCTGCGTCAGGAAGGCCGTGCGCAGCTCGCCGAGGGTGGGCTCGCGCAAGGGCGGCGCATTTTGCTCGGCCATGGCGTCGCGTTTTGAGCCAAAGCTGAACTTCACGGAGCCGCGCTCCCTGGGTGACGATCGCCTGAGACTCCGACTACAACCGGAGTCGGAGCTCGAGCGACTGCTTCTCCCCGCGCGCGTGACGATGAAGGCCGTCCTCTTGGCACTCGCGCTGTCCACGGATGCGCTGATCGCGCCGCAGCGGTCCTTCGGCGGCGCCCGGCGGGCCGCGAAGAGCTCGGCGGTGACCATGTCGGCGTCGAAGAAAATTCTCGTCCTCGGCGGCGACGGCTTCTGCGGCTGGCCGACGGCGCTGCACCTCAGCGACAAGGGCCACGACGCGCGACGCCGGCGCCCAGAAAAACGCGCGAAAAAACGAGCCCCGCGCGCGCGCGCGCGCCGCCGCGGTGAAACCGAGCCGCGCAGGTGACGATCGTCGACAACCTGAGCCGCCGCAACATCGACACGGAGCTCGGCTGCGACTCGCTGACGCCCATCACGCACCCCGAGGTGCGCCTCGAGGCCTGGAAGGAGCTCACGGGCAAGACCATCCATTTCGAGAATTTGGACGTCGCGACCGAGTACGACAAGCTCGAGCTGCTCATGAAGACGGTGCGGCCCGACTCCGTCGTCCACTTCGCGGAGCAGCGCGCGGCGCCCTACTCCCAGAAGGGCGCGAAGCAGAAGCGCTACACGGTCGACAACAACGTCTGCGGCACGCACAACCTCCTCGCGGCCGTCGTCGAGGCGGACTGCAACACGCACGTCGTGCACCTCGGCACGATGGGCGTCTACGGCTACGGCACGTCGGGCGGCGAGATCCCCGAGGGCTACATCGACGTCATCCTCCCCGGCGGCCGCGAGTCCAAGATCCTCCACCCCGCGTACCCCGGCTCCGTCTACCACACGACCAAGTGCTTGGACGCGCTCCTCTTCCAGTTCTACAACAAGAACGACGGCGTCCGCGTCACGGACCTGCACCAGGGCATCGTCTGGGGCACGAACACGCCCCTGACGGGCATGGACGAGCGCCTCACGAACCGCTTCGACTACGACGGCGACTACGGCACGGTCCTGAACCGGTTCCTCATGCAGGCGGCGCTCGGCGTGCCGCTCACGGTCTACGGCACGGGCGGCCAGACGCGGGGCTTCATCCACGTCACGGACACGGCCAAGTGCATCGAGCTCGCCATCAACAACCCGCCCGCCGAGGGCGAGGGCGTCGAGATCTTCAACCAGGTCGCGGAGACGCGCCGCGTCCGCGACATCGCGGAGATGATTAGCTCGAACACGGGCGTGCCCGCGCGCTTCCTCGCGAACCCGCGCCAGGAGGCCGCGGAGAACGAGCTCGACGTGTCGAACCGCAAGTTCCGCGCGCTCGGCTTCGAGCCCACGCTCCTCAACGACAAGCTCTTCGAGGAGGTCCAGGACGTCACGAACAAGTACAAGGACCGCTGCATCCCGACGAAGATCCTCCCCGCGTCCTTCTGGAACAAGAAGCGCGCGCTCGCGGCCGAGGCTGACGGCGAGGCGCGGTCCGACATCAAGCTCCCGGAGGCCGTCGCGAGCCGCTAGGGGCCCCGTCGAAAACCCCCCCGCCGGCCGCCGCCGCCGGCTCCCGCCGTTCCCCCCGCGCGCCGCGCCCGACCTCCCGCCCCCTCTTCATACAGCACCATACAAAAACCGACCCTACTTCTTCGCGTACGCGTTCACAAGCAGGCGCCGCTGGAAGATGACGATCGCGACGGCGACGGCGACGAGGCTCGTGAGGCCGTTGTAGGGCCGGAGCGTCAGGCGCCCGAAGCGCCGCAGGGGCTTCGTCGACAGCAGCGCGTTCTTGATGCGCTGGTAGCGGACGATGCCGTTGAACGCCGTCGCGACGACGAAGAGGCAGATCGTCAGCTCCGCGCCCTCGGTCAACACGCGCCAGAACGCGCCGTCGTTCGACTCGAGCGACGACAGCGAGTAGGCCGTGCGCATGGACGCGAGGGTCGTGCGGATCCAGGCGAGGAGCGTGCGCTCGTTCGCGAGCTCCGTCGTGAGCCGCGAGAAGCGCTCGACGGCCGTGAGCTGCGCGGCGACGGAGTGGCGGTCCGCCTCCTCGTCGTCGTCCGACGGCGCGCGCGGCGACTCCCGCGGCGCGGGCGCCTCGGCGTCGTCGCCGAGGGCGAAGTACTCCGCCGTCGCGCGCTCGTCGCTCGCCTTGCGCGCCGCCGGGGGCGCCGCGTCGCCGTCGCCGCGCGCGTGGCGGCCGCCGCCCCGCGACGTCGTCCGCCGCGCGGGCGCGCCGTGCGCGTAGAGCGTCGCGCCGTCGGGCAGCGACGCGCTCAGGGGCGCGACGGGGCCGCGCCGGTCCCGCGCGAAGGTGCAGTAGAGCGACGCCGGGCACAGGCCGCCGCGGGCGGCGACGGCGCCCTGGAGCTCCGCGTGCGCGAGGCCGTCCCACGTGGCGACGTCGAAGGGCTCGCCCGTCTCGCAGACGATGACGTGCAGCGTGCGCGTGGCCATGGGTGGCGGTCGTGGGGTCGGGTGCGTGTGTCGGGGCCGGCGAACGCGGCCAGGGGAGACGCTTTGCCACAAAGCCCAATCGGAGGCCGAGGAGCGCGTCATCTAGCTGCGTCAAGCTGTCGTCAAGTCGACTGCATCATCCTTGATCGAGATGGCGATGAAGGGCATCTCGAGGCCTTTGCAGCGCGTCGTCTGAGGCCGCAACGCAGCAAAAGGGTCTCGACGTTGCCGCAGAAAGTTAAGCAAAGCCGTCGCAGCGCGAGCAACGCGCCGCTCGCGCGGTGACCATGGGCAAGAAGCAGCGCGAGCGCAAGGCCAAGGACAAGGCGCGCAACGCCGCCAAGCCGAGCGCGGCGCAGGACGAGACCTTCGTGCCCTTCGCCGAGTTCCTGTCGCCGGAGCTCGCCGCCGAGTGCGGCGAGGCCGCGCCGGCCGCGCCCGCCGCGCGCGCGGCGCCGGAGCCCAGGGCGAAGCTCAGCGGCACGCAGCGGAAGCGGCTCGCCAAGTACACGGAGAAGGCGCGGAAGCGCGCGCAGCGCGCCGAGCTCTACGCGACGCTCGGCGCCCACGCGGCGACGCCCGAGCAGCTCGGCGTCGTCCGCGCGACCGTCGCCGCGCGGTCGGGGAGCCAGCGCGCGACGGCGCGGCAGCGCGCGACGGCCGCGCTCCTCCGCGACCGCCACGGCCTCGCCCTCGACGCCGCGGAGCGCGACTCGCTCCACGCGCGCGGCGCGACCGTCGACGACGCCGACGCGCCGCCCGTCGCGCCGCCGCCCGAGGCCGCGGACGACGACGACGCCATGGACGACGACGCGAGCGACGGCGACGACGCCATGGACGAAGGCGAGCACGCGAGCGACAGCGACGACGACAGCGACGACGACGAGGCGCCGCCGCTCGTCGCGGCGCCGCCGGCCATGGCGCCGCCGCCGGCCGCGGCGCCGCCGGCCGCCGCGCCGCCGGCCGCGGCGGCGACGCCGTCGTCGTTCGCGGCGCAGATGATGGCGCAGCTCGCGTCGCTCAAGACGTCGGCGCTCGCGACGGCGCCGGCTACGGCCGCGCCGGCGCCCGAGGACGCCGCGCCGCTCGCGGGCAGGACCGGCTACGTCGCCGTGGACCTCGAGCTGCCCGCGGCGCTCCGGTCCGCCCCCTCCGCGCCGTCCGCGGCTCCCGCGCCCGCGCGGCCGCGGCCCGCCGTCGTCCGCCCGCCGGGCGTCGCCGAGGCGCGCCAGGCGCTGCCCTGCTGCGGCATGGAGCAGGAGCTCGTCGACGCGGTCTCGCGGAACGACGTCGTCGTCGTCTGCGGCGCCACGGGCTCCGGCAAGTCGACGCAGCTGCCCCAGTTCCTCTACGAGGCGGGCCTCACGGCCACGGGCCTGCGCATCGCCGTGACGCAGCCGCGGCGCGTCGCCGCGGTGACGACGTGCGAGCGCGTGGCCCACGAGCTCGGCGCACCGGACCCGAAAACCACGCCCGACGCGCTCGTGGGCTACCGCACGCGCTACGACGCCGGCGGCGTCGGCCCGTCGACGCGCTTGTTATTTGAGACGGACGGCGTGCTGCTCAACGAGTGCAAGCGCGACCTCTTGCTGCGCGACTACGCGGCGGTGATCCTGGACGAGGCGCACGAGCGGTCGCTGAACACGGACGTGCTGCTGGGCCTGCTGAGCCGCGCCGTGCCCCTGCGGCGCGCGCACTACGACGAGGCGACGGCCGCGGGCGACGCGGACGCCCTGCCGCCGCTGAAGCTCGTGGTCATGTCCGCGACGCTCCGCGTCGACGACTTTTTGGACAACGCGGCCCTCTGGGGCGCCGGCCCGCGGCCCGAGCTCGTCAGCGTCGAGGCGCGGCAGCACCCCGTGACGACGCACTTCGCCAAGGTCACGGAGCTCGACGACTACGCGGGCGCGGCCCTGGCCAAGACGCGCGCGATCCACGACAAGTTGCCCGACGGCGCGGTCCTCGTTTTTTTCACGGGCAAGCGGGAGATCGACGAGTTGTGGACGCCCTGCGGGGGCCGGGCCTCCACGTCGTGCCCCTCCACGCGCAGATGTCCCTCGCGGACCAGCGCGCGGCCTTCGCGGAGCCGCCGCCGGGTTGCCGAAAGGTCGTCGCGGCGACGAACGTCGCGGAGACGTCGCTGACGATCCCCGGCGTGACCTACGTCGTCGACAGCGGCCGCGCGAAGCGCAAGGTCGTGCTCGACGCCGCGAGCGGCGCCGTCGCGTTCCGCGTGGGCTGGATCTCGCGCGCCGCGGCGGACCAGCGCGCGGGCCGCGCGGGCCGCGAGGGGCCGGGCCACTGCTACCGCCTCTACTCGTCGGCGCTCTTCGCCGAGACCTTCGACGCCTTCGAGGCGCCCGAGGTCGCGCGCCTGCCGCTCCTGGACGTCGTGCTGGCCGCGAAGGACCTGGGCGTCGCCGACGTCGGCTCGTTCCCCTTCCCCTCGCGGCCGCCGCCGGCGGAGCTCGCGGCCGCGGGCCGCGCGCTGGAGCGCCTCGGCTGCGTGGGCGCGAACGGCGCCCTGTCGCCCCTGGGCGCGGCCGTCGCGAGGCTGCCCGTGGGCTGCCGCCACGCGTGCGCGCTCGCGCACGTCGCGCGGAATCTGACCGGCGGCGACGACGAGCGCCGGCGCACGGCGGCGCTCGCCGTCGCCCTCGTCGCCGCCGGCTCCGAGGCCTGCCCCTTCGGGGGCGCGTCCGACGCGCAGCGGCGCGCTCGCGGCGCTGAAAAAGGCCCTGCGGGACCGCGCGCGTCTTCGCCGGCGGCGACGGCGCGCCGCTGGCCGTCGCCCTCGACGACCTGCGGCCCGCGACGGCGGCGCAGGACGTCCTCCTGGCCAAGGCGCTCTGCGCCGGCAGCCTCGACCGCGTCGCGCGCCGCGCGGACCCGGCGGTCGTCGAGGCGCGCGCGCGCGCGGCCGCGGCCGCCGCGGGCGAGGTCTACGACCCGAAGTCGCTGAGCGCGCACGACCGCGACTGCGCCTACGAGCTGCTCTGCGAGGCGCCGGGCGACCGCGGGCCGCGCCTCGCCTACGTGTCCGCGCGGTCCGCGGCGCACGCGCGGTCGCGCCGCGACCTGCCGCCGTTCCTCGCGTACGGGGCCGCGGCGCTGCCGGAGCGCGGCGCCGCGAAGCTCGACGCGTGCACGGCCGTCGACGGCGCCTGGCTCGCCCAGCTCGCGGGGACCTTCGTCGCCTTCGGCCCGCCCCTCGAGCGGCCGCCGCCGCGGCTGCGGGCGGACGGCGACCGCGTCCGCGTCTTCCGCGAGCCGGCGCTCGCGGCCGCGCGGGGGCCGCCCTGGCTCCTGCCCGTCGTCGCCGCGCCCCTCGAGGGCTGCGGGCCCGACGCCGCGGGCGCCGTCGCCGCGCGCCTGCTCCTCGACGGCGCGCTCCTGCCGGGACTCGTCGACGGCGCGGCGCTTCTCGACGCGCCCGCGGCCGCGCTGCCCCTCGGCGACGCCCCCGCGGCGAAGCGCCCGCCGAGGGTCGCCGCGCTCGTCGCCGCGCTGCGGGGGGCGGCGACGCGCGCCGCCGTCGCGGCGGCGCTCGCGGCGCCCGCGGGGAGGGACGCGCTCCTCGGCGTCGTCCGCAAGTCGGGACGCGCGGCCCTCGAGGGCCGGCTCGCTAAGCTCTAGCCTAGGCCTCGGTCGCAAGTCGGGACGCGCGGCCCTCGAGGGCCGGCCCGCTAAGCTTTAGCCTAGGCCTCGGCCGCGACTGCCTTCTTCTGGGCGCGCGCGGCCTTCTTCAGCGCGCGCTTCTCCTTCTCCTCGCGGATGGCGCGCTTCCGCGCGCGCTTGGCCTCCTTGGCCGCGCGCTTGTCCACCGCGTCGTCCGCGGCGGGTTCGCCGCCGGCGGGCGCCGCCGCGGAGACGTCCGCGGCGGGTTCGCCGCCGTCGGGGGGCGCCGCTGCGGAGACGAGGCTCCGGAAGAGCGCGAGCGCCGCGTCGACGGGCGGCGGCGGCGGCGGCGGCAGCGGCGCCACGGCGACGTCGGCGACGCCGGGGATCTCCCGGAGCCGCGGCGCGAGCTCGTCGGCGAGCACGCCGGGCCCGAGGGCCGCGGCGGCGCCCGCGACGGCGGCGGTCGCGCCCGCGAGGAGCGCCGCGGGCGCCGGGACCTCGCCGGCGCCGTCGAGCGTCGCGTGCGTCGCCGCGCCCGCGGCCTCCGGGAGGTCGAGGCCGTGCGCGCGCGCGAGGAACGCGCGCTCGTCGGCGGCGCTCGCCGGGCGCCAGCGGTCGTAGCCCCGGCGCCGGTTCGCGGCCGCGAGCGGCGCCTCGGCGCGCGCGCCGGGCCCGGGGCCGAAGCCGAGCGCGCGCCGCGGCCGCGAGAGCTCGGGCCATTTGAAGACGACGCTGTCGGCGTAGAGCGCGTCGCCCGGCTCGAGGGCCGCGGCGCCGTCGCCGAGCCGGCGGAGCGCGGCCTGCGCGGGGCGCCGCCGTCGCGTCGCGCGCGCGGGGACGGCCGCGCGGGCGGTCGCGAGGCGCGCGCGGCCGGGCCGGAGCACGACGACGTCCGCCGTCGCGGCGACGCGGCACCGCCGGGGCTCGTCCGCGTCCCAGGCCGCGGCGTCGACGGAGACCGCGACGCACGGCACGAGCGGCAGGTCCGCGCCCCCGAGGAGCGACGCCCGCGCCTCGCGCGCCGCGTCGCGGCGCGCGAGGAACTCCTCCGTCACGCCGAACGCGACGAGGTCGCGGCCCTCGAAGACGACGCGGCACGTCGCCGCCTGGCGCCGCAGCGCGCGCGCGACGCGCCCCGCGACGCGCGCGCGAAGCCCCGCGGCCGGCGCTTCCGGTTCCGCGTCGCCCGCGTCGCGCGCGTCGCGCGCGTCCGCGGCCCGCGCCGCGTCGACGCCGAGGGCCGACGCCGCGGCGACGACGTCCTCGAGCGCCTCGGTTTGGCGGGCCGCCGCCGCCCAGACCGTCAACCCGCGCGTCCCGTCGAGGTCCGCGAAGAAGGGTTTGTCTTTCCAGGCGTCGTCGAGGGCGTCCAGGACCATTTCAGCGGCGAGCGGGTGCGTCGATTTCGCCGCGAATTCGACGGGCGTCGCGACGTAGCTCTCGTCGCCTCGCGGGAGCAGCAGGGAGAACGTGAACGACGTCATGGGCGGCGTCGTGAGCTTTTGTATCGAATTGCCACAGCGCCTCGGACTCGTCGGTGCTTATCCAGGGGGGTTCGTGGGGTACCTCGGCGAGCCGAGCCAGGTGGCGACCGCCTCGGACTCGATTGGCGACTCTCTCTCTAGCGCATTAGGCGACGCTCCCCGCCCACGCGCCGACTCTCTCTAGCGCATTAGGCGACGCACCCCGCCTACGCGCCTGCCTTGGGCGGACGCGGGCACTGGGGGGCCCACTAAAGCCGCAATGGGCCATTGGCAATGGCGACTCGGATCGCCTAGTAATTCTCAGTTTTGGAAACTGAGAGGAGGACGACGGCCTCACACCGCCCCGCCTCTCTAATACGCGAAAGCCTCTACCTTGGGAGCCTAGGTTAAGCTTATCAGCCCCACACCTTGACCGTGTTGTCGAACGACCCGGAGACGACGCGCCGGCCGTCGGGGAAGACGGCGACGCCGTCGACCTAAAGCCAAGGGAGATCACACCCGAAAGAACAAGGACGCCGCACCACACTGCATACGAAGTCCCGGACAGCGTCGCGACGCACTCGCCCGTGGCCGCGTCCCAGACCTTGACCTTCTTGTCGTCCGACCCGGAGACGACGCGCCGGCCGTCGGGGAAGACGGCGACGCTTGTGACCTAAAAAACCAGGAAGATCACACCCTAAAGAACCAGGACGCCGCACCAAACCGTTTTCTCATGTCCGCACAGCGTCGCGACGCACTCGCCCGTGGCCGCGTCCCAGACCTTGACCGTGTTGTCGGACGACGCGGAGACGACGCGCCGGCCGTCGGGGAAGACGGCGACGCTTGTGACCTAAAAAACCAGGAAGATCACACGCGAAAGAATAAGGACGCCGCGCCACACGGTATTCGAATGCCCGGCCAGCGTCGCGACACACTCGCCCGTGGCCGCGTCCCAGACCTTGACCGTCTCGTCGTCCGCCCCGGAGACGACGCGCCGCCCGTCGGGGAAGACGGCGACGCTCTTGACCTAAAAGCCAGGGAGATCACACACACAAGAAAAACAGAGAAGACGCCGCGCCACACGGTATTCGAATGCCCGGCCAGCGTCGCGACACACTCGCCCGTGGCCGCGTCCCACACCTTGACCGTTTCGTCGTACGACCCGGAGACGACGCGCCGGCCGTCGGGGAAGACGGCGACGCTCTTGACCTAAAAAAACAGGAAGATCACACGCGAAAGAATAAGGACGCCGCGCCACACCGTCCCCGAATGCCCGGCCAGCGTCGCGACGCACTCGCCCGTGGCCACGTCCCACACCTTGACAGTCTCGTCCTTCGACCCGGAGACGACGCGCCGGCCGTCGGGGAAGACGGCGACGCTCTTGACCTAAAAGCCAGGAAGATCACACACACACAAGAGAAACAGCAGAGAAGACGCCGCGCCACACCTCCCCCGAATGCCCAGCCAGCGTCGCGACGCACTCGCCCGTGGCCGCGTCCCACACCTTGACCGTCTTGTCGCTCGACCCGGAGACGACGCGCCGGCCGTCGGGGAAGACGGCGACGCTGCTGACCTAAACGCCAGAGAGATCACAGAATCGCAGAAACAAGGACGCCGCGCCCCACGTTCTCCGAATGCCCGGCCAGCGTCGCGACGCACTTTTTCGTGGCCATGCCCCACACCTTGACCGCCTCGTCCTTCGACGCGGAGACGACGCGCCGGCCGTCGGGGAAAACGGCGACGCTCCAGACCTAAAGACTGAAGTTCACACGCTAAAGAACGAGGACGCCGCGCCACACGCAATCCGATTGCCCCAGCGTCGCGACGCACTCGCCCGTGGCCGCGTCCCACACCTTCACCGTCCCGTCGTCCGACCCGGAGACGACGCGCCGGCCGTTGAAGAAGACGGCGACGCTGTTGACCTAAAAAAGCAGGGGAGATCACACCCGAAAGAACGAGGACGCCGCGCCACACCCGCTCCGAATGCCCGGCCAGCGTCGCGACGCACTTGCCCGTGGCCGCGTCCCACACCTTGACCATCGCGTCGCCCGCCCCGGAGACGACGTGCCGGCCGTCGGGGAAGACGGCGACGCAGTGGACCTAAAGACGGAAGATCACACACACACAACACAAGAAAATCAGAGAAGACGCCGCGCCACACCGCCCCTAACCCAAATCTTCTGGGCGAATGCCCGGCGAGCGTCGCGACGCACTCGCCCGTGGCCGCGTCCCACACCTTGACCGTGACGTCGTTCGACCCGGAGACGACGCGCCGGCCGTCGGGGAAGACGGCGACGCTTGTGACCTAAAAACCAGAGAGATCACACCCTAAAGAACCGGGACGCCGCGCCACACCCGATTCGAATGCCCGGCCAGCGTCGCGACGCACTCGCCCGTGGCCGTGTCCCACACCTTGACCGTGTTGTCGTCCGCCCCGGAGACGACGCGCCGGCCGTCGGGGAACACGGCGACGGCGAAGACCTGAAGACAAAAGATCACACACAGAGAAAACAGAGAAGACGCCGCGCCACACGTCATTCGAATGCCCGGCCAGCGTCGCGACGCACTCGCCCGTGGCCGCGTCCCAGACCTTGACCGTGTTGTCCTCCGACCCGGAGACGACGCGTCGGCCGTCGGGGAAGACGGCGACGCTCCAGACCTAAAAGACAAAAAATAACACACACACAAGAAAAACAGAGAAGACGCTGCGCCACACCCCCTTCGAATGCCCGGCCAGCGTCGCGACGCACTCGCCCGTGGCCGCGTCCCACACCTTCACCGTCCCGTCGTCCGAGTCCGACCCGGAGACGACGCGCCGGCCGTCGGGGAAGACGGCGACGCTCCAGGCCTAAGACGAAAGATCACACACGCAGAAAAACATAAAAAGAAGACGCCGCGTCACACCCCATACGCTTTCAGCCTCGCGAGCTCGGCCAACTTGGAGAGGTCCACGATCTTCAAAAACGGCATGAATCGCAGCTTCGCAGCGTCCACAGACACGCAGCTGCTTGTGTCCCAGATCGACTGCCTCACCTTTGGCACCGCCGCCGCGGGGCTCTCCTGCTCGAACGTCTCCACGGCCACGACTTCCCCACCGCCGTCGCCGACCGCCAGTCGCTCCGCCACGCTCGAGTCCTCTTCACGCTCCAAAATAAGGAGACGCGGAGGGATTTCACGCTCCAAAGCCGCGCCCGGCGCCGCGTCGGGCACCTCGCGAACGCCGTCGCCGCCCTTGTCCGCGTACGACGCCGGGCTCTCCTGCTCTATCGGCTCCACAGCCGCCACGTCCCCACTGTTCACAGCCGCAACTTCCCCACCGCCGTCCTCGACTGCCAGTCGCTCCGCCACGTTCGAGACCTCTTCTTGTTGCGTCGCCACCGCCTCAGCCGCCTCGTCGCGCGCCTCTCGAGCGCCGTTGCCGCCCTTGCCCTCGCAAAACGCGACGACGTCGTCCGCCGCCGTCTCCGAGCGGTCGAGTTTCGCGAGCTGCTCGTCGAAGCCCGTGTCCTCCTTGAGCTCCAGCCGCCCGAGGAACTCGAGCCAGCCGCCGGGCACGCGGTGGTTGACGACGGCGACGGCCAGCTGCGCGCGCGTCATCGCCCGGTACAGCCGCGACCGCGTCTCGAGGGCCGTCGCGTCGTCGACGGAGATGGCGTGGTCCAGCCCGGCGCAGATGACGACGAGCCGCTCGAGGCCGTCGATGTTGTCGACGGTGTCGACGACGAGCCACGCCGCCGACCCTTCGCGCCCGCCGCGGTCGCGCGGCAGCGTCGCGCTCGCCGTCGCCGCGTCGACGATCTCAAAGCTCCGCCCGAGCCGCTTGGCGAGCGCCACACAAAGCTCCTCGCAAAAGTCGGCGTCGGGGCAGACGACGGCGACGCGGTCGTCAAGGTCCATGCCGTGGAGCTGACGTCGGATGGACGCGATCGCCGCGTTTACCTCCTGCGCGTAGCGCTCGACGTCGTCGCCGTCGAAGAGCCGCGCCTCGAGCGGTGGGCCGTCGGACGCCGAGTGGCCCCGCGTCGCCGCCTTCTTCCCGGCCTCGAGCTGGAAGGCCGCGGCGCCCGCGACGATGCGTTTCGTCGAGCGGACCACCTCCTCGAGCGCGACCGTCGCGACCTCGGCAGATTCGGGCACGTCCGCGATCGACCGCACCAGTCCGGCCCCGTCCATGGTCGACGTCGCCTGGGACGCGTCGCCGAGGAAGAGAAAACGATCAGCGGCGACGCCGCGAATCGCCTCGCGCGCTTCCACGTCGCCGGCGAGGTGGTGCGCCTCGTCCACGACGGCGATGCCGTAGCGCTCCGTCTCCTCGACGCGGTCGCCGATGGCCAGGCGCTGCCGCCCGTCCGCCTCCTCGATGCGGATCTCGAGCGGACCGCGCTCAAAAGGGGCGACGAGCACGCGGACGCGGTCGGCGACGCGCCGCGCCGAAGTCCGGGACGCGACGACGAGCCACTTGACCACGAAGAGCGCCAGCGCGGTGTTCTTCGAGACAAAGAGCACCATCTGGTTCGCGTGGAGGACCTCGAGCGCGCGCTGGATCGCCACGAACGTCTTGCCGCCGCCCGCGGGCGCCAGGAGCAGCGCGTATTGCGCCACGCGCACGTCGCCGAGCTTCTCGCGCTGGTGCCGCGTGAGCTTCGTGAAGCGCATCATGCTGCTCGCGTAGCACTCGAGGAAGGCGCCGCGGTCGCAGCGGAGCGGCACGGCGTCCCCAGCGACGAGCGGTCGCTCCCATAGCCCCTGCTTTGCGCCGCGGTAGAACTCTCGGCCGTCGACGAGGTCCTCCTTCTCGTAGCCGAGCCCCAGCAGCTCCTCGTCCGTCGCCGGCCGCGCACTCGCCGGCACAGGGACCGTCGGCCGCCGGAACTGCGCTTGGTTTGCGTCGTGGTAGAACTCTCGGCCGTCGACGAGGTCCTCCTTCTCGTAGCCGAGCCCCAACAGCTCCTCGTCCGTCGCCGGCCGCCTGCTCGCTGGCACCGGGACTGTCGGCCGCTCGAACTGCGTCTGGTTTGCGTCGTGGTAGAACTCTCGGCCGTCGACGATGTCCTCCTTCTCGTAGCCGAGCCCCAACAGCTCCTCGTCCGTCGCCGGCCACCTGAATGCCGGTTCCGGGACTGTCGGTCGCTCGAACTGGGCCTCGTTCTCGTGGACGTAGAACTCGCGGCCGGAGGCTGTCTCGAGCTTCTCATAATCGAGTCCTGGCAGTTCCTCGTCCGTCGCCGGCCGCCGGCTCGCTGGCACAGGGACCGTCGGCCGCTCATTCCATCCAGCCCGATCGATGACGGAGAAGGGCCACCAGTAGGCGTACTCGTCGAAGTCGTTGGCGTCGAAGAGGAGGTAGGTCGAGTCCTCCGCGTCGTCCTTCTCGACGAGGAACGTTTTCCCCAGCGCGGCCTCCCAGTCGTCCGGCAGGCCCAGGGAGTCGTCGCGGGCCTCGAAGGCAGCCAGGACGCGCGCGCGGTCATCGCTCACGCGCACGCGCGTCCCGCGCGCAAGAGGGTGGAACGCGGCAGGGTGGAACGCGGCCAGGACGTAGAACTCGCGACCGGAGGTTGTCACGAGTTTCTCATATCCGAGTCCTGGCAGCTCCTCGTCCGTCGCCGGCCGCCGGCTCGCTGGCACAGGAACCGTCGGCCGCTCGAACTGGGCCTCGTCCAAGGGCTGGAGCTCGATGACGGAGAAGGGCCACCACTCGCCCATGTTGTCGGCATCCTCGTCGAAGTCCTCGGCGTCGACGAGGAGGTAGGTCGAGTCCTCCGCGTCGTCCTTCTCGACGAGGAACGCTTTCCCCAGCGCGGCCTCCCAGTCGTCCGGCAGGCCCAGGGAGTCGTCGCGGGCCTCGAAGGCAGCCAGGACGCGCGCGCGGTCATCGCTCACGCGCACGCGCGTCCCGCGCGCACGAGGGTGGACTTCGGCCAGGACGTAGAACTCGCGGTCGGACGTTGTCACGAGCCTCTCGTACCCGAGTCCTGGCAGCTCCTCGTCCGTCGCCGGCCGCCGGCTCGCTAGCACAGGAACAATCGGCCGCTCGAACTGGGCCTCGTTCTCGTGGACGTAGAACTCGCGGCCGGATGTCGTCACGAGCTTCTCGAAGCCAAGCCCAGGCAACTCCTCATCCGTCGCAGCGCGTCGCCAGCGCGGCAACGCCCCGTTCAGCTTCTCCTCAAAACCACTCCCGAGAAGGATCTCGTCGCGCAGCGCGGCCATGGCCGCGACGTCGTCGATGCCGAGGCGCACGCGCGCGCGGCCCCGCCAAAGGTAGACGTTGGCGACGCAGCATCCGGGCGGCAACGCCTTCGCCAGCGCCGCCTCCAAAATCGCGACGGAGCCGCAGGCGTCCATGACGCTCCCCCCGTCCGCGCGCGACAGCGTCAGCATCTGCTCGCTCTCGAGGTCCGGGCCGTCGAGGGCCCGCGCGAGCGCGTCGTCGTCGCCGCTCGCCGCGAGGACTCGATGGACTTCATACACCTGATGCGCGCCCGAGTCCTTGATCTCCTTGATGCTCTGGAACGTGAGCTGCAGCTCGCCGACGAAGCCGTCCACATCCACGTTGAGCTTGACGTCGCGGTAGCCCGACGTCCCGCCCCGCAGGTTGTCCTTGCACCGTAGAATTCTCAGCTCCTCGCCGCGCGCCGCGGCGCGTAGCTTCGAGATCGCCGCGTTGAAGTCGTTCGCCGTGCCGTAGACGCCGGTCGCTCGCTCGACGTCGACGACGCGCGCGACGTCGCCGTCGTAGTCCGCCTCGGCCTTCTCCTTGATGCGCAGCGTCCCCTTGCGCGGGCCTTGATAGTAGGCGCCGCCGGACTCCTTGACGGGCTGCTCGAGCGCCGCGTGCATCGCCTCGGCGTGCTCGCTGGCCAGCGCGACGAGCGCCTCGACGGTCGCCCCCTCCGGGAGCGCGCACCGCGGCGGGTCCGCGGGAGAGAAGTCCGCCTGGAGCGCGGCGGTCGCCATGAGCAAATCATCCGCCGTACAGGTAGCCCACGCCGCATCGTAGTACGCTTTGACGTCCTGCTGCGCGTGGGAGATCACGTCCTTGAGTCCAGCTCGATCGCAATTCTTGACGTCGCGGCTGCCTCGTGGAGTCCGCGGCACGGCCCGCTCCACGTTGCTGCAGATGATCTGCACCTGGTCGACGCTCGCGCTGGCGCCCATGCTCGTTCCTGCGGGTTGGTCACAGCGGGCAGCGACGCGGTCCTGCTCCCATCATTCCAGAAGTCGCGGGCGCTGTAGAAATGCGAATTGTTGAAGTGCAACATCTCAAGCTCTGCGGGCGACATGGTCCCGGCGCCGAGCTGATCGTCGTGCCAACGCCAACACACCATGAAGGACTGGGAGCTCGAGGCGGCGCTGGCGGCGCTGGATCCCTTCGCGCCGGAGACGGCGAACTACGAGCTCGAGCAGTACAGCACGTCGGCGCACCTCGCGGCGCAGATCGTGCTCTGCGCGGCGCGGAGCTTCGGCGACGTCGAGGGCCAGGTCGTGCTGGACCTGGGCTGCGGCACGGGCATCCTGAGCTGCGCCTGCGCCCTCGCGGGCGCGGCGCGCGTCGTCGGCGTCGACGTCGACGACACCGCGCTCGCGGCGGCCGCGGAGAACCTCGAGCGCTGCAGCTGCGAGGCCGACGTCGACCTCGTCCGCGGAGACGTGGACGCGGCGCCGCCCCTGCGCCTGGCCGCGGTCCCGGATATTTGTGTGATGAACCCGCCCTTCGGCACGCGGAACGTCGGCGTCGACGCGCGCTTCGTCAGATTCGCGCTCGGCCGCGTGTCCTCCGCGGTCTACTCGCTCCACAAGAGCTCGACGCGGGCCTACTTCGTCGACCGCGCGCCCGAGTGGGGCGCGTCGGCGCAAATCGTCGCCGAGCTCAAGTTCGACCTGCCCAAGACCTACAAGTTCCACCGGGACGAGAGCCGCGACGTCCGCGTGGACCTCATCCGCTTCGCCGTCGGCGGCGACGCGCTGCCGCCGCCGCCGCCGCCGCCGCCGCCGGGCCGGGGCAAGGGGGGCAAGGGCAAGGGGGGCGCGCGCGGCCGCGGCCGGGCGAAGGGCGACCAGCGGGGCCGCGGGCGGAGGCGATGACGCCGCTAAGACGTCGCGGGAGGCGGCGTCCACTGGCAGGAACGACCCCTCGCGACGACCGCGGCAAATCGGAGCCCCTCGTTCTTATGCACAGGGTCTTGGTCCCTTTGGGGGCGTCCGTTCTTGGATCTTCTTGTTCTTCTTCTTGGGGGTCGGCGGCTAGAGCGCGGCCGCGGCCGCGGCGACGCGGGCCGCGGCGTCCTCGGCGAGGCCGTGGGGCGAGATGGACTCGTCGTCGTCCTCGCCGTCGTCGAGCGCGTCGAAGAGCGCGTTGAGCGCGGCCTCGAGCGCGGCCGCGGGCGCGTCCTTCGTCGCCTTGAGCACGGCGGGCCGGCACTTGCGGTCCAGGGCGGCCTCGAAGGCGGCGCAGGCGTCGGCCACGGCCTGCTCGTCGGCCGCGCGGTCCGGCGCGTTCTTGCGCGCGCGCGGCGGCGGCCGCGGCGCGGGCGCGGGCGCCGCGGTGGCCTTGGGCGGCGTCGCGTCGGAGCCGCGCTCCGAGCCCTCGGCGCGCTTCTTGTGGAAGGCGTCGCACTTGGCGACGAGGTCCCAGCCGACCTTCTTCTGGAAGCGGTGGGCCATGGACCGCGCGAGGTCCTCCGCGTTCGCCGCCGCGTGCGCCAAATCGTCCGCGCGCGCGTGGCCCAGCGCCGCGGCGCGGAACGCGGCCGCGTTCTCGCGGACGACGCGCACGTCGCTGAGGAAGTGGCGCAGCGTCGGGTAGAGGCCGCCGTCGACCTTGGCGCGGACGACGGACAGGTCCATGGGCGACTGGACGACCGCAAAGTACTCGGGCGACTCCTCGGGGTCGACGGGCCGCCAGAGCGCCTGGAGGCTCCGGTCCGCCTTGAGCTCGCGGAGCGCCGCGCGGAGGAAGACGCGCAGCTCGCGCAGGCAGTGCGCCTCCTTCTCGCCGGGCTCGCGCGGAGCCGCGGGGCTCGGCGCGGGCGACTCGTCGGCCTCCGACGGCGCCTTGTCCTCGTCGTCCTCCGCGGGCTCCTCCGCGGGCAGGCGCGCGGCCTCGAGGCCCGCGCGGAAGGCCGCGGCGACCTCGCCGAGGCCCAGGGCCCAGAAGGCCTCGCGCGCCTTCTTCGACGGCGCGGGCACGGCGACCTCGGCCGCGGCCGCGAGCGCGTCGGGCGCCGCGACGTCGTCGTCGTCGAGGGCCCCGCCGGCCGTCGTCGCGACGACGAGGAGCGCCTGGTCCTCGCGCGCCTCGAGGAGGAGGGCCCGGAGCGCGACTTTCGTCTGCGGAAGCGCGTGCGCCCACCACTCGTCGACGTCCGGGAGGAAGAGGACCTGGGCAGCACAAGAGTGATTCAACGTCGCTTCAACGTGGGTGTTCCGCGCGCGCGCGTTCCGGAAAACACATCCACGCTTCGAGACCGTTCCGAGAGATGATCGCTCGTCCAAAAATCAGCCGAAACGAGTGGAAAATGGCCGAGATCGGAGCCTTTGAAGTTGGGAATTTCGCTCTCTTGTGCTGCCCTGAAGAGCACCGCGCTACCCGCGCGGCCCGCGGCCGCGCGCGCGTCGCGGACGCGCGCCGCGAGCGCCGCGTCGGGCGCGAGGCCCGCCGCGCCGTCGCGGAGCAAGGCGCCCGCGCCGCCGTGCGCGATCGCCGCGCCGCCGCGCTCGAGCGCGTCGAGCACGGCCGCGGCGACGACGTCGCGGTCGCGCGGCGCCGCGGCGGAGAGCACGACGGCCCGGGGCCGCGCGAAGGCCGCGGCGCCGCGGCAGGGCGCGCGGTGCGCCGCGACGGCGTACCCAAAGGCCGTCGCGGGCGCGGCC